GTTTATAAGAAGAGATTAGATAACCATTTGTCTGAAGTAGTGTAGAGTTTCCTGCCTAAGCACGGGGTTGGACTAGAAGACCTCCAAGGTCCCTTCCAACTTTGGTAAATTATTATTATAATTATTAAATTATTATATTTCCAGGACTGACTTGTACAAACTGATGCTGTGTCTTCTACAATAAGGAGACATTTTCTGACAGTGTGAACAATCAACCAATGGAACAGCTTGCCTTCAGAAGTTGTGGGAACTTCATCATTGGAAGCCTTCAAGAAGAGATTGGACTGCCATTTGTCAGAAATGGTGTAGGGTCTCCTGTTTGGGCAGGGGGTTGGACTAGATGACCTACAAGGTCCCTTCCAACTCTGTTAATCTATCTGTCTTGTGGAATCAAAACACAGGACCCAAAATAAATAATCAAGGCTCACTGTGGTGTTTGTAATTCAATGTGCACAGGAGAAACTCTCCAAACAATGTTAAGATAAATCTCTGTAGACAAAACCATGTATCTATAGCTATGCAGGACATCTCAGGGAGGAGGAGAAAACTCATGGATAAGCAACAGATGAAGTAAGCAAATATATTTGTAGGTAATGGATTTCCCTTCTCCTGACCTTCTGCCATCTGCTTATCTTCAAGAGAACTAAGGGGAGAAATAAAACCAGAAAACAAGAAAATATGGGCTAGTTGGGAATACCAGATGTTGGAAAGAAAACATCTGCCATTGGTACCTGAAGGACAAACCTATGCAGATTGTCCTGAGAAGAAAACAGGCTGCAGCTCAATAAGCCAAATTCCTTATATCTCTGTACATCAACTTGTTTAGATGATTCCAGTTGTGTAAAAGCCTCTTTCCTTATATTCTGTAGCTTCACCATTTCCTGAAGAATCCTCAGATCTACAACAACACCATAGAAGGAATGTATTTGGATAGAAATGGAGATTTGATGGCTGACTTTGACATTGTGAGATGGGTGTTGTTTCCTAATAAGTCGACCACCAGAGTGAAATTTGGAAGTCTAGACAGAGAAGGAACCATTGGAGTCAAATTCAGCACCAACAAGGAAGCCATCACGAGCCCTCAGTGGCTCAATCAGGTAGGGGAAGAGGTGTCCCATCTCTTTACCATGTTTCCCTGAAAATAAGACATTCCCTGATAATAAGTCCAATCAGGTTTTTGAGCGCATGGATTAAAATAAGCCCCCCCAAAAAATATTTAAGCACATGCGCAGACAGTCCTCGCCATTTCCCCTAGTTAGGGTTAGGGAGACAGAGCTAGAAATCAGCAAGAGGAGCCCCGTCTTGCTCCACACACCCCAAAATAATAAGACCTCCCCAAAAATAAGGCCAAGCACTGATTTCAGGGTTCAAAAAATATAAGACGGGGTCTTATTTTGGGGGAAACACAGTAGTTTTGTCCATCATCTCAATCAGTGTACCCCTCCATCCCAAACTATATATAAGACCGACTGCCTTCAAATTCATGCTTCAGAATTATATTCTTTCATTTATAACCAGCAAAGGAAAAGATGCTTTATGACTTATACAGTAGAAGACTTTGGTCTGGGGACATTGAGGAAAAAAATGTGGAGATGGAGGGAAATGGAAGCATGATTTAAGAGGAGGGGAGAAGTAAAATCAATTGAGTTACACATGTTCGCTCAAAACAGTAAAGTGCAGATAGAGCCCCTCCCAAAGTCCAATACATCACCAAGCCAATCTCGAAGTGTAAAAATACTATGAGATACTCAGGCTGAGGAGGTGATAAATGCCGGTCTCCAAGGCAACGCTGCTGCTCTTCTCTGGAGACGAGATAAGCTATGGGACCTGACAATCCCATTCCAACACTATAATTCATTTCATAACTAATCAGTTTTGCAGATGCTTCTGAATGCAAATTCTGTTCACTTTCAGCCCTTGCCTCACTCCCAGTGTGTGGAGCCTTGTCAACCTGGCTATTTCAAGGTGGTCCAGGAAGGAAAACCAATCTGTTGCTACAACTGCGTCCCTTGTGCAGAAGGAAGCATTTCCACCCAAGAAGGTGGGTGAATGGGAATCAAAACAGTTCTTGGGATAGGAGCAAAGGTTCCTGCAGATCTTTTATAAGAAGATATTTCTAATTTGGGTATTGGAGTGGGAGGGAGTATTAATTGCCATCTCCTCCATTCCAAGATGGACTCGGGATAGACACATTTCTGCCTAACCATTTTCTCCAAAGTATCCAAGGAGTAGGCAAGCATGATCTTTGTTTCCTGTGGAGTAGCTATTTGGGGGAATACATTGCTACCGGAGAAGAACCTCTCCTCATTATGGCGACTAGAGAGAAAGGTCAAACCAGACAACTTTATCTGCCCCTTTTTAATCATTAACCATTGGGATTTGGTGGGAAAAATGAAAGCAAAAATAGTTGAACAATATTGTTATTGAATTTCAATTTTATCCTCCAATTAATGGGTAGTGAGACAAATCAAACTTCATTTCTGAAAACCAGAATATTCCAACCTTGTCAAATTGGCTAATCCTAGTCTATTAGAAACCTTCCTACATGATGTAGATCAGGGGTGTGAAACTCAAGGCCCATGGTAAATATTACATTTGTCCTCTATAGATGCAGACAACTGCACCAGATGTCCAGACAATCAGTATCAGAACAAGCATCGAGATCAATGTATTCTCAAAATTGTCACTTTTTTGTCCCATCAAGAGTATTTGGGAATTATTCTTACTTTCTTTGCCCTATTCCTGATCTTAACCACAGTTTTAGTCTTGGGAATCTTCATTAAATTCCAAGAAACGCCAATTGTCAAAGCCAACAACCGGGACCTCTCCTATATCCTCCTGGTCTCCCTTCTTCTTTGCTTCTTGACTTCCTTTCTCTTCATTGGTCGGCCACGGAGAACCACCTGCCTTCTCCGACAAACAATTTTCAGCATCATCTTCTCAATTGCCGTGTCTTCCGTCTTGGCCAAAACAATCATGGTGGTGCTGGCCTTCCTGGCCACAAAGCCAGGAAACAGAGTGAGAGGGTGGCTGGGCAAGAGTCTGACCAACACCATCATCATTTCTTGTTCCAGTGTCCAGGTTGTCATTTGTTTCACCTGGTTAGGAGTCTTTCCTTCATTCCCTGATTCTGACATGTATTCTCAGCCTAGAGAGATTGTTCTGCAGTGCAATGAAGGCTCTGTCACTATGTCTTATGTTGCCCTTGGTTACATGGGTTTTCAGGCTGCCATTTGCTTCATAGTGGCCTTCCTGGCCAGGAATCTACCTGGGTCCTTCAACGAAGCCAAGATGATCACCTTCAGCATGCTGGTCTTTTGCAGTGTCTGGATCTCCTTTGTGCCTACCTATCTCAGCACCAAAGGGAAATTCACGGTTGCTGTGCAGGTCTTCTCCATCTTGGCTTCCAGTGCTGGGCTGCTGGGTTGCATCTTCATCCCTAAGTGTTACATCATTTTGCTGAGGCCAGATCTGAATACAAAGGAACAACTGATGTTCAAAAGTGAAGTAAAACAGTGATGCTGATGGATGTTCTGGGGATATAATTCCCACCCAATATAATTCCCACCCATTGGGTACATTTCCTCCCGATCAGCAATAAATGTAATAAATGTCTTTCGTTCTTTCATTGGTTTATTTCTGATGTATCACATGTACCAAATGTTTGTAACATTTGTTTCTGTACCCTATTAAAAGTCTTGGACTACCCCCATTCCACAAATGCTTTTCACTGTGCCTAACCCTATCGCTTCTGTGGGTGTGGCTTGGTGGGCGTGGCTTGGTGGGCATAGCAGGGGAAGGATAGTGTAAAATCTCCATTCCCTCCCCACTCCAGGGGAAGGTTACTGCAAAATCCCCATTTCCTCCTGATCAGCTGGGACTCAGGAGGCAGAGAATAGATGGGGGCGGGGCCAGTCAGAGGTGGTATTTACTGGTTCTCCAAACTACTCAAAATTTCCCCTACTGGTTCTCCAGAACTGGTCAGAACCTGCTGAAACCCACCTCTGGGGTGACCAGCTTACTTTTACAAAAGGAAAAAGTGTTTTTAATCTCTCAGATTCAGAGAAATAAGGCCAAACAGCTAAGCTTTTTTTCCTCCCCCGCTGAAAGTGCGCGCACGCGTGTGGCCCCCCCCCCGCCCCCCCCCCCCCCGTGAATGCATGCGCAACCCCCCCTGCATGCTTGAGACCCACACACATCCCGTTTTGGGCCTAGCAGCCACCCTGAAGTCTCTGGAGGCTGGAAACAGCCTGTTTCCGGATTTCCGGTAGGCTTGTTTTTTGCTCTCCCCAGGCTCCGGAGGCTTTCCTGAACCTTCTGGGAGGACTGAAGGCCGGAAACGGCCTGTTTCCAGATTTCCGGTACTTCCAGGAGGCCTGGTTTTTGCCCTCCCAGACCCTCTGTGTGAGCCCCGTACTTTACCTGGCATCCAAAACATGCCATGTGGAGACTCCTGGGAGGAGAGGAGCAGTGTGGGCAGGGTCAGCTGAAAATCAGTGGAGCTGACCTAGGGCAACAGCTTGCGTGCCAGCAGAGATGGCTCCGCGTGCATGGCATGCGTGCCATAGGTTCACCATCACGAGCCTAGAACTTCTCTAAGGGTATTGAAACCATGTCTTCTAAATCTAATGTGTTCAAAATTTCTCTTTCTATACAATCTATGTTATTATTATTTTTATATACAACTAAGTGTGCTATACAAATATGAATGTTCCTTCTTGGCAGTTTCTAAGATAGAAACTTTATTATTACACTATAAACATTGGTCTGAACAGCAATAATCACCATGACTGTAAAAAAACCAGCATGATAAAAATGATTATTTTTCATTGTTGGATAAATATTTTTGATCCATTATCCTAAATAGAATATAAATTAAAAAGACAAAGATATCCTTTGGCAAGCAATCTAAGGTATTTAAAAAATTTAAGAAATCAGAAAAGCCACTTAATTTTTTTAAAAGAAAGAGTGATAAGCATAAAGCAAGGCACGTTAAAATATTCAGCAAGAAAATTGTTTAAAATTTAATTAGAGGGAAATATAAATATACAAAAACTATACAAATTGCTTCAGGTATTGTCTCCAAACTTTCTGTACAGATTCTAAGGTGCTAATTTTTAATTTATAAATTCTCCCTCTGGCATTAATGGATAAAGAAATGATTGGAAGAAAACACAGCAAGAGAAATGAGGTCATTAAGGACATTCAGATTTGACATTTTTTTATGCCATGGAAAGAATCAAAACAAAATCTAAATAATGCTTTAATGAAAACTTATATGCCTGTGGGTGGAGCATATGTACAAATCATACACATGTACAAACAATATTTTCAATCATAGTTTAGAATAAAATCAATCCATGGAAAAACCAGAAAAATTATATTGCCTAAACTTATTATCAAAAAATGCCAGATTAAACAAGAATCAATATTAGGTTTTACCTGTATAGGACTGACATGAAATAGTATCAAGATTCCATTAAACACATAAATCATTAATAAATTAACAGAAAAAATAGAGATATTATACCTAAGAAAAACAATAAAATTCAGTTAGATTGTATCTTAATTGGAATCAACATAAATGTCACCGAATAATTTACAAACATTCTAAGTTCTCCAAAATCTTGAATTGGGCTGATATAACATAACACAATTAGAGGAAAGAAGTATGAGACTCTCTCTCAAGATGGAAATTGCAGACTGAATGAATATATGCCTACATGCATCAGTTGTAACTATAATGCTAAAATGAAATAATAATCATGTTCAAGTCTGAAAACACTCCCTTTAAAACTATTTCTAAGCCTTAGTGAATGTATAGGAGTTAATTCTAAATTGAGGTTGCAATATTGATTTTATGGAAAAATCAATATGGGTTTTATTGGAAAAATCCAATAAAGGATTTTTCCTTTTGATCATTTTAGTAAATTAGATTATATTAACAAGGGAACATGGGGAAAATATATATTGCTGTTAAAAGCAGCATTTCTTAAATGCATATAAAGACATTCTTTGTAAAACCAGATCATTCTTGTTCTCTAGATGCTAAAGATCTTGCAGTACACTATTGTATTGTGGTTGGCTGAGGTTGGTGGAAACCAGAGTTCAATAACATTTGAATCTAAATATAAATTAATCTGATAGGGGATTCTGGCCCAAGATGCATACCACGTTCACTCTGTAAGATTTCTTTCTATATATACAGTATATATGTATGAAATCAGCCATTGAAATGGCTGGAATGGTTCTGAAATGAGCCATTTCAAAGACTTGTGAGTAAATGATATATATGTATCCATGCAAGTCCACAAACCAATCCTATCAAACAGAAAATCTTTCACTGGAGGCAGAAGCCACAATGGAAAAGCACAAATAGCTGTAGATCCCAATTTCTTTTACAAGTCTTGCAATAATCCCAGTAATAATACTGCATTCCTTTCTCCCTAAAATGCCGGGATCTTTCTATGTCAGATTCCCTTCTCACTTATACATATAGATTTCTATGTAGCTGAGAGCATTCCAAACGTCATTCAGAAAAGAATCTGTCCATTGCAAAAGTATTACTTTTAATCAGCACTCAACATGTGATTACTATTGATAATATTCATTCAATATGCAAAAGAAATACCGCTTCTGGAAAGACTGAAGACCCCAAACAAACCTGTGAAAAAGAGCATATCTACTGTAAAGAAAGGAGAGTTGTGTGCTGAAAAATGATTGCATAACTTTATCAACACTGTCACTGATAAACCTAGTGATGCCTAATAACAGCAACTCCTCTGTGAATATTTATCTTTTGTAGACACTAGACATATCCCTAAATGTATGAGGTATCTTCAATACTTCAACATGCTTAGAAATGTGAGGCAGGAAATTTGGATCAGAGTCTTGCAAAAAGGCAATGCACATATGATAAAATCTAATGTGAGTATAAATAAGGGAAGAGAGGAAGCATATAATGTAAGTAACTTTGCAGTAAAGAGAACGGAAGAAATAAATGGATTGGTAAAAATCTGATTTTTATACTTATGTTAAACGTATGGCTACATAGATAATTACAAACCCAAGGAAGGCACTAATGATGATAGCATAATACAGACATTGGAAACTTTCCCAATTCTGCTGAACCATAACTTTCAAGAGCACTAGCCATAGGGAGCACTGCAGCAGCCCACTGAATTTAGCCCCTGTGGAAGAAATTGGGACAATTTAACTGGCAAAATAGAGTTTTTCTGTTTGTCAGTCTTTCACCATGCACACATTTCATACACACACCTATTTCAGTTTTTTGTCAAAAAATAGCAAAAGTGCTACCAAAAAAGCAATAATTTTGCTGCTATATATTTGGAGATACAATTTAGGAATGCACTGAAGGACAGAAAAATGGAGCTGGTATAAAAATATGGAAAGGCACATTAATGCTGTTATAGCATAGCATTTGATCATAGGCAGTGAAGCCAAATAAAGAAGGAAGTAACACATTTTGATATTTGTGCATTTTGGAGGAAGTTTGTTAAAAATAAATATATAAAGCCCAAGCACCTTTATGGGAAGACCAATATTCAAGTAGGATAGTTGCTTAACACATTACTAAAGAACTCCCACTCTGTATTCTTACATAAGTATTAGTGTTATCTCAGTGACTAAGATAATCCACTTCAAAGCCAGTATCAAAGATGAAGAGTTTAAAATATCTCTAACAAGTAACCAATACCAAGAATTCCTGAAACATCTCAAGCTTTAAGAGTATTCTTCCAGACAGCAAGCTGTAAGAAGTCTTTTTACTAATTTCTCCCTAAGGCATTTAGTGGCTTTCTTATGGATGCATTTTCTACAGGTGCATTTTCTGTGAATGATATAACATAGGCAAGCCCATTCCTCAGGACATCAGGCACTTGCTTCTTGTATTATCTCTTCTTCCTATCCCAAAAGAACCTTTTGCATCCTGCGTGCAGCAACAATGGCTTCATCTTCTGAATCAGATTCACTCTGGGAATTAGAACTCTGAGATGCAGAACTGTAAGGAGAAGAACACTCTGGGGAACAAAGGTAGTGCATCAGTGGAACGCGGTACTTCCCACAGAAGTCGACAAATTTTATTTGGCGGACACAGCTGTCAAAATAGACTCCTAAAAAGAGATGAAAGGATGTTCTTAAAATAGAGTTTGCGGTTATTGTATAAACATGGGCATACATCATGTTTCATGGTCTGCTAAACTGAATCAAGTCAATGGCACAGTTGTCTTTCTTGTTTGAGGGGGATCTATGGCTGGCTGGTTGGCTATAAGCTGTCGGCTACCAGCTTTTTAAACGTATCACTAACTTATTTCAATCCAGCTACACCTTTCTTTGAAAGATGCAAAAATTAAATTGCTCATCAATGTTTCAGATTGGATTGAGATATAGAGACTAAAAACCTATCCACTTCTATTTAGAAATAAACACCACTGAGTTCAATGTAAGCAACATGTTTATTGTACAAAAAAAATCAGCAGTTCCATAGCATCTTTTTTGACTAACAAGTTTTATTAAAAGGCATAAGCTTTTAACATGAAGGCACAAGTTACAAAAACATGCCTTTTAATAAAGTCTAGAATCTGACAGTTCTAAGTAACTGGAACACAAATTATAAAAATTGGCATTTTCACCCAGAAATGTTGATAGCCTTATGGCAGGATGATCGTTCTTGAAAGCAAGCCTGGATTTTATTTATACTTTTTAAAGCTTCTCTTCTGCTTTGCTTTTTATCTCTAAAAGTTAACCGGCTGATTAAATGCTGGTTTATTTTAACCCCTGCTGGACTTTATCTGTTGTCCTTTTGCTTTACATTTGATCTTTTTGGCTGTTTTGAATAATTCTTGCTTCCATAAGGAAGTAATGGCATATTTCTGGCTAATGAAAAGTGTTTGGACTTGATTTACATTTATGTGGGATATATATAGGGATTTTGCCTTTTATTAACTTGCAAAAAGTTTGGAGGGGTTTTTTTTATTTTTTTTATCTTGGATCAAAACATTCAAAAATATTCTCCCTGTCTCTCCATATTCTCACTCTGAGGAATATTACTTCAATGTTCTTTGTTCCCTGTCTCTGAGGAGTTTTATCTCTCATTGCTGTTACATGAGAGCATATTGTATCAGATTGCAGACAAGTAAATGTGGCTGGCCTTTGAAAAAAGACTGGTAATATACAAACCCAAGTTGAAAACTTTTTTAAAATATTTGACAAAATAATAATGTTGCAAAAAAATGTCCAGATGCAAGTAACTGTAGTTAAAACACCTTCACAAATGGAATTTGATTTAAAAGTGGCAGATTCTGTGAAAGAGACTTACAGACTTAGAAATGACTGAGGGGATTGCACATGCCTTCCTGAAGTTCAGGCCTCCATTCCTTTATAACAGCAGAAAACTAACTGAATGGTAAGTGATCAATTGGTTTCCCCTAAAAACACTGAAGGAGATTGGGAATAGATTTATCATAGTCAGCCCAGAAAACAATTTCATCTGAACTTTTTTGGGAAGGTAGATCGACTTTGGAGAATGGATTTATTATATTAAACTGGATAACAATTGATAAATTGATAAAAGATGGTATTAAGAAACAAACGTGGATATTTGATTCAGGACAAATCATAATTATTTGTTGGAATTATCTGGGATAGATAAGAAGCTGTGGTAAACTTTCTACAAGTTGAATACAATAATAGTTTGTTAACAGAGGGTTTTGAAATTTTACTCGTCTTTTTTGTTGTTCTACCTGTTAACTGTTTTGCCATTAATATGGTAGATAAATGACAGGTTAATAATTTGCAAATAGAATTAGAAGTTTAAAAATGTTTTGGGCCTGTTTTGCAAGGGATGGGAAACTAATATTGTTGCAATATATTTATCAGTGTTCAGCGGGGGGGGGGGCTAATATGTGTATATGTTTGCGTCTTTTTTTTAATGCAACTTTAAAATGTTTTGTTTTTTGTTTGTTCTTGTTAAAAAATTGAGTTTCATATTTTAACTTTTTTTAATAAAAATAAAAATTACTGAGTTATTTTGATTTTTTAAATTTTAAGCTTAGCACTTAGTAAAAAAAAAACCCATTAAAATGGTTCCCCAAATGTCTGGGGAAAATGCTATTGATTTCTAAACGTAATTTTCTCTTAAAAGCAGAGAAAATAATGTACCTCCACATTTAGGATTAGGACAATTGCTGGCCAGACGCAAATATCGAAGGAGATTTCCAGGGAGATCACTAGCAATGTAAGGAATATTGCGAGTTTTGATAGTGCGTCCAGCCAGTTCTTGGAGGCTTGGAGGATTGTAGGTCAATTCACGGACAAACCTCACAACCAAAGGATTCCCACGCAAACTCAATTCTTCAAGCTGAACTAGATTCAGGATCTCCCGAGGAAGATATGTCAGTAAATTATTGTGGAGGCTAAGAGAGCGAAGTGAATGCAACCTGGAAATGAGAGACAGGAAAAATTATAAGACTCTACCATCAGGTATACCAAAATGAGCAACAAACTCTCTTTCAGGATGATAGATATTATCTACCTGTGAATTAAACAATGCACTTCCCTAATATGCATAGTGGAGCTATTATATAACTATGAACGCACAGAATGATTTCTCTGTGGAGTTTACAGTGCTAATATAGAATGTTTCTGCATTTTCTGAACACACTATATTCCTTATTAATTTTTAGAGTAATGAAACTGCTTTTTAAAGTAATTAAAAAACACACTTTTAAAAACTTAGTCATTAAAAAACACGAGTCTAATTTATAATATACCAAAATAGGACCATATACATGGCTCCATAACAAATATATGTACTTTTGAGTGTAATAGATTTAGGGCATTATCCTGATTACACTTATTAAATACTGCAATTTTATCAAAGGAGACAAAGTTGAACAGGCACAATGTATTTGCAAGAAAGTTTCTGTTTTCTTGCTAGTGCCTATTAATTTTAGCATGAAAATCCAGACACTTACCAACATGCTGTTTGACAATCTGGTCAAAAACTTGCCTACTGTAAATGTCAGTATCAGATCTGTAGTTTTCAAATCCTTCTGAAGATGGGTTTGCCTCCTCCAGTGTTCTAGGATTTCATATAACCTTCTGGAGTTCTTAAAGATTACTAAGACTGGTACTGCAACCACTTCTGCAAGTTTGTTCAGTACAGTGCTGTAGAATGTAAGCCAACTGGTCCTGAATTTGTTTAAATTATATGTAATCATCATTTAGCAACCACAATTGGTACCAGCTGCTCTGGCAAGCAATCATTAAATGAGAAATCACATCACTGTGAATATCAGGCACAAGCAACCAGAACCATTTGTGAATAGTCTCAAGCAGAAGCTTTATTTTAATCACCTATGTGATTTTTCCTTTCAAACAGTCAGATAAAGCTTCAGAAATTTTTGGGGAGGTCAGACCTGTGCCGTTTTTTTGAAGTGTAAGGAGTCTAAGCTCAGCAACCTCTTAACCCCTCCTTCCAGTTGGAGTTGGAGATTCCAGCACAATGACTCTGCTTTCCTTTTGCCCATTTCCCACCCTTTAGAATGCTGATGCTGGGATAACTAGCAAGAATGGAATTAATGTTTGTGTTTATGTTTGTTGGAGAAAGGGATTACAAGAGAGTAAGTAGGCTCACAATGCGGAATACACATCAAAATAATTGGCATCCCAGAGCACACTTGGAGCTAGGAGTTGCAAGTGCTCTACCCAAACAGCTGATGTATTTCCCTGCTTACTCTCTTGCTGATGTTTTCCTGTTTACTCTTGTAATTCCTGCTTAATCTTGTAATCCCTTTATCTCCAAACTTTCTGCTCTGCAGGTGGGAGCCACAGGACAATGTATACAGACTGTAATGATAATCGCATGACTGAGGGACACAGTGAAGATCATCAATGTGACACTGGTTGTAATTTTTTTTTTGCACCATGGAAACCAAATGGATACTGAATGAAGCAGTTGGTAAGCAAGTCTAAGGTCTCTTCTTGTTTATCCTAAATTACCCTTCTCTCATTCCCCTGCAGTATAATGACCAGCTAGGGCTCCATTTACCCTCAGAGGGAAAATAGACACAAAATAGGAGAAATTCTGCCTTCTCACCATTATGCATTACTGCTGCACCACTTTCTCTTTAAAAGTACCTTGTTTTACTTTAATGTCTAATGTACATAAAGAACCATTTTTATTATTTCGGGTATCTCTTGCAAGCTTCACCACATACTGAGTTTTAGCCTTTTACAGTTTCTTGACACCATTACCTCTTTGGTTATGTTTTCTTTCTTCCATTTTCTGTAAATTTTGCTTTTCCTCTGAAATATTTGAGAAATTGCATATATACACACTGGTATCTTTGAATTTATCCTGTTTTTCTGTTCCCATTTTCCTGAATACTTTTTTTGAGGAATTCAAACCAATGGATCTGATCCACCTTCCTTTAAAGTTCATTAAAATCCATTTTCGAAGTTCAGTTTTTAGGTGGCCCTTCTCAACTGCTCCTTTAGATATCATGAATTCAAGGAAAACTTTACTTTCAGTATATTTGATTCTGTGTTTTAGCTACATTTTCTTTTTATTCTCATTTGATATCCCCCTGATGAGATGGTGAGATTCCTTTTCAGGTTTTATAAGCCGTATCCTATCTCTTCTCAGCAATCCTTTCTGAAAATAGCAAGAGCCCTTGTCAACTTCCTGTTTGTTTTCCCTATTTGCTTGCTTAGTAAATAATGTGTACAAATTATTCTCCATTACTGCTGATAACGAATCCCACAACATAGTTGCATTATTCACTATTCGCACTATTTGAATTGATAGTTCTATGGAAAATAGGGTGCAAGTAGTCCTTGTTTAATGACCTCTTGTTCAGCAACGTTTCAAAGTTATAACAAACTGAAGGAAACTTATGACTAGTCCTTGAAGTCTGGCCATCCCAGCACCTCCACAGGCATGTAATCATATTCTGGGTGCTTGGCAACTCACTTACATTTATGATGACTCAAGGTCACATGATTGCAACCTTCCTTGAAGTCTTCCCAAAAGTAAATTTGTTGGAGAAGCTGGCAAGGTCACAAGTTGCTTGGGTCTTTCCTACCTACCCACTTCACACAGCCCCTCTGCGCCTGTGCTGCATCTCCCCAGTTACTCACACACCCTCCTGAGTCTTGTTGAACTTATGCTTCATCTCCCCAGCCACTTGCACACCCTTGAACACTCTCCCCAGGTGTTCTGCTACACTCTTGCTATGATTACCTGGCAACTCACACACCTTTCTTACCCGGCAGCAGCCATCTCAAGTCCAGTTGTCCATTTCCATCACATTTGTACCCTCCCTGAGCCTTACTGCACTTGTGCTGCATCTCCATGGCTACCCATACACCCAATCTCCCACTGAAAGTAGACTCTTACCTGCCTGTGGCCTGCTTACAACCCACTTAGGACTTGCAAAGAGGTACTTGCTTAACAAGCCACAATCCTCCTTTAGGGACTGCATGGATTGCCATCACGCTTTACATTATGACAGTATTGCTTACTAATGGAAATTTTGGTCCCAAATGCTGTTGTAACTCAAGCACTATCTGTAATCAGTTTCAGCTCAATTGAAATAGTATATATACCAATATTATAATAGTATATAATTTTCACTAAATCACTAAATCAAATATTACACTATTTGAGCTCACATTCATTGCAACCTACCAGTATTGTTTATAGATCAGTATGTACAATTATTGTACAATTTTCTGATTGTAGTGCTGCAATGAATTACACCTTTTCGGCATTGTGAGATTGTGTTATTATATTGAAGATATTCTCCTTTTCATACAAAAACACTTCAAAAGAAAATATCATCAGTTTTTTACACAACTAAATTTAGGACATAGATATCAGAAAGAGTAACATGGCTAGAAATACTCACTGTGCCAACTGAGGTGGAATACTCTGTATCCTGTTATCACAGAGGACTAGATAATTTAGTGAAGACAGGTTTGCTAACTCTGGTGGAATGGAAGTAATGAAATTTCCTCCAAGATACAAAAATTCTAAACTGAAAGAGAAACGAAAATCAATACCTAAAATTTGCATCCATTTCTGACAGAGTACTGATTCAGCATGTCATTTAGAACATAAATCAGTGGACATCAACCCTTTTATATATATTACAAAATGATTATATTAAAGAAACTTTAATAAACAAATAAACTTGAAAACAAAGTAAGAAGAAATGGTTCATCAGGTTAAGTTTCTCTAGATAAATTCCTTCAATTAAAAAAAATGCTATCAGGAAAATAATAATAAATGATGAAAAATAATTTTTCTCCCTCTCCAAACTCTGATATGTGCCTCCCAAAAAGAATTTCTATCTGCCAGACAGTTGTTGAAACCACTCAGAAAATCAATACTCAGGAAAGTTTTACAAGGTGCTCAAAGCAGTCAGTGTCCGGTAAATGTAAAAGTTATGGAACATGCATTCTGAAGTCAGGAAGTGAACTCAGTCTTTGTATTTGTATTCCAATTTGGATACAAGTACAGGAGCCATAGTTTGCATTATGACACATGGTTTGTCATTCCTTTCCCATCCCTTTGAAGATGCTTGTGCTTAAAGCTGTACTACAGGAACATAGCAGAAGTCTGGATTGATGTATTTCTGATTGATCATAATCCTATTTTAGAGGAGGTTTCAAAGATTTCAAAGACAATAAAATGCCCTGCCAGTTTGCTGAGTGAGATGTGAGATGCCAAGGTGACTTTCATATCTTCTTTGTTTATGTCTGTTGAAGGATTTGGGAGGAGTCATTTGACACCTGATCCAGTAATGCCAGTGGTACATTGACATTGACAATATTGATATCAGGCAAATATGTTTTATTTTCCTCCAGAAATACAAAAGGAAAAAAAGAAAAATAAGTCATGGTTGGGCAAAGCCTATATAAACCCTAAGTGAGGCTAGAGAGCCAACTGCTGTGTTCCTCCTCTAATAAAGCTTATTGGATTTATTTTGAGTTCCATTTAGATTACTCCTTCATCTATTACCAATTGATAACTGGCACGAACCACATTGGCCCACATCAAATTATAAATAAGAAATTGTTTTTATGCCTCTTCAGTATGTGGGAGAAAGAGAACTTTGATCTTGAAGGGATACAGAGTATTTTTTTCCTTATAAGTACATTCTGTCTGCTTATAAGCTCAAGTCAGCACATAAAAACTAACTTGGTGGAAGCAATTGGCACAAGGTTACCTGTTAAATTTCACAAATGAATAGATACTTGGACCTAGATCTCTAAATGCTGCATTAGAGTGTAGTTAACTTTGTGGCAAAGCTTAGCTCTATTAACGATTCTTTATTAATAGTAACAATACTTTAATATTTAAACACATAACCATAATGTTCAGAAATTGTATGCCTCTAAATACACAAAATTAATTACCAGGTAATATTCAGCTTTACAGATTAACAGAGTTGGAAGGGACCTTATAGGTCATCTAGTCCAACCCTCATCCAAGCAGAAGACCCTACACCATTTCTGACAAATAGCAATCCAATCTCTTCTTGAAGGCCTCTAGTGATGAAGCTCCCACAACTTCTGAAGGCAAGTTGTTCCATTGGTTGATAGTTCTCATTGTCAGAAAATTTCTTATTTCTAGGTTGAAATTCTCCTTGATCAGTTTCCATCCATTATTCCTTGTCTGGCCTTTAGATGCCTTGGAAAATAGCTTTACCTAATAGTGGCAGCCCCTCAAATATTGGAACACTGCTATCTTGTCTCCCTTGGTCCTTCTCTTCACTAGACTAGCCATGCCCAGTTCTTTAACCGTTTTTCATGTTTTAGTCTCCAATCCCTAATCATCCTGGTTGCTCTTCTCTGCACTTTTTCTAGAGTCTTAACATCTTTCTTATAGTGTGGTGGCCAAAACGGGATGCAGCATTCTAAGTGTGGTCTTACTAAGGCTTTATAGAGTGGTTTATATATTTAGTATATGGCAAATACATGGACTTATAGTAGTTCAAATGTTAATGTCCAGTCCACCCAGCCATTCAAGGACAAGGTGGTCTACGTTGAAAAAAATCAAACATTGAGCTGATGTAAGCTCTTGATGGACATTTGGACACAATGTGATGGATATTTTGTCAAGGAGCACCACAGTCACACTGGGGGGTAGAGACAAGACCCCACTAAAACAATGAGTCCTGGCAGACACCATGTTGGGTACGGATTCTGTTCAGAGTTGACCAATGCTGGCGAGGAAGGTCAAAAACTGACACCTTTTGTGATGCTAGTTTGCGTCCTCGTGGTGCACTCTGGGTGTGAACCATTCGGAAGTGTGAACCGAATGACTAGCAACAATTGGCAGCCAGATTACATTGAAGAATTGTCAGTTAATGATAGTTTGCAGAACTCCTGGCTCTCTAAATACATGGCAACAAAATGGGCCTTTTCAGGCCTAAAGGACAAGATAGATTGGGGACATTGTCAGAATACAGAGTGGTATTAGTACCTCACTTGATCTTGATTGTATCCCTCTGTTAATGCAATTTAGGATTGTATTGGCTTTTTTGGCTGCCACTGCACACTGCTGGCTCATAGTTAACTGGTTGTCCATGAAGACTCCAAGATCCCTCTCACAGTTACTGCTATTAAGCCTGTACTTTTGATTTTTCTTGCCTAAGTGTAAAACTTTACTTTTCTCTACATTGAATTTCATTTTGTTAGATAGGGCCCAGAGTTAAAGTCTGTCAAGGCTGTTAGCTATTCCCGTCAAGTTAATATCATCTGCAAATTTGATAAGTTCCCCTTCTATTCCCTCATCTAAGTCGTTTATGAAAATATTGAAGGGTACTGGGCCTAAGATGGAACCTTGTGGTACCCCACTGCTTACTTCCCTTCATGTAGATGAGGACCCATTAAAGGACTACTCATTGAGTACGGTTTGTCAACCAGTTATGAATCCATCTGGTGGTGATGCTATCTATCCCACTTTTTTCTAGATTATTAAGAAGTAGGTTTCTTAAATTTGAAGGCAATGCCTGGATTACCTTCATACCAAAATGGAGAATACCAGCAGAAAATTAATAGACGGTGAGAAAAATATACTGACATGTTCATCTGCAAATCAGCTATAAATAATTAAATTCTAAAAGAAAATGGAATTGTGCAAAATATTAAACATATACTTATCAAATATTATTTCTAACATTATTCTAAAATCATTTTCAAGAGGATGTTGTACTATTTTTTCTAACTTTACAGAACCTCTTAAATATATATAGCAAACTGATCATACTAAGAAGGAAGAACATAGGAAACTACAATGAGAGATCAGAAGAGATTAAACAAACTATCCCTGGGTTGAAATATTGGCAAAGGTGACTAGAAAACAAGCTATAGACTAAAATGATGAAAACTGGAACAACTGTATTTGAACTGGAAGCTAGGCTTCCAATTGCACATTTGCACTCTCATTCCTGAGACATGTCCTCCCCTTCACAAAAATTTCTTTTTACTTGAGTGTGTCATGATTCTATGACTAGGACCCTTGAAGAATAAAAATTCCTGAGAATTGATGCACACTCAGATCCATTATACTCCCAAGAATCATTGTTCATGTCCCAGGCTTCTTATGGTCTCTCACTGATATTTCCTATTTTTTGCTTTTCAGTGTAATTAATATGCTTTATTTCCAAAACAGCAGAACAGAGGAAAAAACTTATTGTGACTGAACATTCCTAGCATTATAATATATAAAGCAGATAGTAGGAAGAAAATAAAAATAGATACTGTATAAATTGAGGACTAACCCCCCTCACTGTTTTCATTACAAGGCATCTATATGAACAAAATTAAAATCACAATATTCATTAAATATACAGATAAAGAGAAAATTCAAAATACAATAATAGATTAAACTAAACAAATTTGGTCTAAATTGGCCACAAATACTCTTCCCTGTCTGTTGAAAAAGAATCATTTTCAACCATTACTTCCTGAAGTGAGGCTGTATTTTTTAATTGAAATGTGAAAATATGGAAAAGAGGAAGAAACTTAACTTCTGCATTTCACCAGAGAAAAATTGATTCAAAGTAACAATTTTGTAGATGGCCAAATTGAAATTTCCAAATAAAAAATTTATGAATTTATTTTTAAACTACAATTCTCCTATAACATAAGCCTCCTATGAATAAAGGGACTAAAACAAAGCTCATAATCTAATATTGTATCTTTGTGAGTACGTGTGAATCTATCTAGCTATATCATGGAGCATTAAGTGGTGGTAATGAACCAATCCATTCATAAATGAAAGTAAAATTCAATTCTCAAACTCATCACAAGGACATTTCTGAAACTCTTATATTAAATCATAACTGAAGTCAAAATGAATTAAAGTGTTGAAATTACCTGAAAGATTGCCTATTTCCATACTGTAATGTTTGCTCTACATTCTTTTGTAGATTTTACTACAGATACAAGTTCAGCAGATTGTATAGTTATAGTTAACTAATATAGTTATGAAACAAGCTGCTGCAAGTTGAAAAATACAAAACTTTTTGAATAGCCTGAATGAAAAAAAAATATGAGAAAATCTATTTTTCCATCTAAGCTATTCAAAGAATGTTGTATTTTTTATAAATATTATCTTTGCACCGTTTGATATTTTTTAAAGCCATTCAAATATGTTGTATTAAGTGGCATTCAACCAAAGCTACAAAAACCCAGATGGCTACTAAATGGCCATGAAGGGCAGGGAGAAGTCTCAGCTCTCTGCTGCCAACTATTGGTTACCTATATTTTAGCAGTCCACAAGTAGTCTAATATAGAAGTTCTAAATAACCCAATAATTATAATTTATTAAACTTGTATCCTATCAGTGAAACAAAGAAATTACAACAAAATCAGTAAAAGATAAATATGGCAATGAAGGGAGGCCTCTCCCCCGCCAATAGCATGGTTGAAGAAGCAAATAATAAATTCACTTTTTGTTCAAGAGATTACTGGGAGTTTATGTATAGAACAGTCCCAGATTATCAACACTGAAGGAAAATACCGAATGAGTTGATGCCCCACTTGAAATAACTCGGTAGTATAAAATCACTGAGACCTCCTAAAAGATGCGTGCCTTGACTGAAGCAGAGCTCACAATTCGAGGAGCAGCAAAAAGCCCCGCGTTGTCTATCGTGGTGACTGGTGCACCTCCCACAAAATGCAGCCTAAGCTTTGGCTCGGAAGGTCGCCCGCGGCCGGCTTCCCCGGGGGCTCTTGGCCCCTTTTCCCAGCCGGCTCACCTGCTAAGCTCCTGGATGGCGGGGGGGATGCTCTGGAGCCGGTTGCTCCCCAGGCTGAGGCTCTGGAGGCGGGAGAGGCCCAGGAGCGAGGCGGGGAAGTGCGTGAACCGGTTGCCGCTCAAGTTGAGGACGCGCAAGGACCGGCCCAGGGGGGCGCTGGCCAGGCCCTTCGGGAGGGACCCGCGGCACCCCAACCGGTTGTTCTTTGCCAGCAGCGTGTGCAGATGCGCCAGGTCCAGCAGCTCGGGGCCCAGCACCGACAGCCCCGTCCCGCTCACGTCCAAGACCTCCAGGGCCGGATACCAGCTCCCGAGCCCCGCGGGCAGCTCGCCCGCCGGGGACAGCCATGAAGCGGGGAGCACCAGGCGCCGCGAGGACTGCTCCGCGGCGCCCCTCGGCCGAAGCTCGCCTTCCTCGCCCGCTCTTCGGGCTTCGGCTTCGGCCTGCCCTCCTTCCTCCGCCATCTCGTCAAGACCGAGCCCCGGAATCTGAGTACGACCGCGCTCGTGGGGCCCTGAGTAGCAGAACGTCAAGCCGCGCTTCGGCCGCTTTCTCCTGCAATCGGTCGAGACTTATACAGGTTCCCGGGCTGCTCCCGCAGGAACGGGCTGACCCGCTGACGGAGGGTGTTTCTGGTTCGGCTTTTCCGAGGGGCGCCCTGGAGGTCAGGGGCGCAATGTGCTGTCAGTGACTTCCACGGGCATTTTTCAACCGTAGGTCTTTGGCTGGCGCATCTTCCCCAACCTGCTCGACCTCTTTTTTCCTTGCAGTGTAAATTTGCTGTTCAGTATTTATTCCATTCAGAAACTATTGAATTTTACTTTTTTTGTTTTAGCAAGGTGACTTTTTCATACTGTACAGTTGACAATTTCGCATGGTTTTTTGTGAAAAATACTCCCGTACAGAAACATGGGAAGCCACTTTATACTAAAGAGGGTTAGGGATCCATCTAGCTGGGTGTTGGGTACATAGGCAATGCACCCAATTCAAAGGAACAGTTGTGGGCAGTAGTGAAATCCAAATTTTTTTACTACCGGTTCTGTGGGCGTGGCAGGAGAAGGATATTGAAAAATCTCCATTCCCACCCCACTCTGCGGCCAGTCAGAGGTGGTATTTGCCAGTTCTCTGAACTATTCAAAATTTCCGCTACCTGTTCTCCAGAACCTTTCAGAACCTGCTGGATTTCACCCCTGGTTGAGGGCCTTTCCAGGTAAAGCTAGTGAGACTCCAGTGTGAAACACTTGGGGTCTACTGTTAATCAGTACACAGGTACAGTGGTACCTAGCCACTCATCTGGGATTCGTTCCTAGAGATACAACTAGTACTAAAAATGGATATTGAGTAAACCATGTGATCCTTTATTTCAGCCCAAAGGAGTAGTGAGTCATGAGGCAGGTGACGCCAGCCAGTTCTACCTTGAGCGTCAAGTACTGGTAGAAAGATGAACATTGGGAAAAGATTTTTGCTTCAAAACACATTGAGTATTGAATTCGTTGAGATTTGAAGCATTCAAATACCGAGATCTGGCTGTAGTCCCCACCTTATAACCATTCATTTAGCAGCCATTTGAAGTTACAACATCTCTGAAAAAAGTGATGACTGGTTCTTAGGTCCAACACAGCATCTCCACGGTCACATGTTCAAAATTTGGGCACTTGGCAACTGTCATGTATTTATAACAGATGCAGCATGCCAGGGTTACCTGATCATCATTTGCAACTTTCCAGCTAGCTTTGGTCAAGTAAAGTCAGTGAGGTAAGCTGGATTTGCTTAGTGACTATATGATTCACTTAACTGCAGTGATTCACTTAAAAGGCTATTGCTTAAAGCATTGTAAGCCGCCCTAAGTCTCCGGAGAAGGGCGGCATATAAATTGAACCAATAAAAAATAAATAAATAAATAAAAACCATGACAAAAAGGGTGGTAAAATCAGGTGTGTCTTATTCAACAATCGCCTTGCTTAGCCACAGAAATTTTGGTTCCAACTGTGGTCATAAGTTGATGATTACCTGTAGTTTAGAGGCCTCTAACCTTTGGCAGGAATTCCTATGGGAGTTTATTCAGTGCATTAAGCACCCACCAGCAAACAAGCATCCACAAGCAAATATTCAAAATGCTACAAATTTCTGTGTTTGTTCCTGTCTTGATTTTGCATAAAGCAACAAGACCAGATTTCTTACTTATATATAGTAGCAACCAAATTCTGAGAATTTCCATCTCCAGTGTGTATACCAATACTAGTAATATTTATTCAGTAGCTAAAGAACTATAAAGCATAAACAGAATAAAAAAAAGTGACTGTATATTTTGGTTATCATCTGTTTCTAGAAGTGTTATTGGTTAGCTCAGGCCTGTCAAACTAGTGGCCCATGGGCCGGATGCGTCATACACAGGCCATGTCTATCCAGGTTCTGCAAAAAGCATCACAATACGCCATGATACATCAGATGTTGCGATCAAGTTTGACACCCTTGGGTTAGCTCTTTTTAAATAAATGCTTTGCAATGGGAAATAATGGCTCATGATTCCGTTGACAGTTGCAAAACAAAATGGCAGCTCAGAGCTGAAACTCCGAGGCTAGGAGGGAGATGTTTCAACATTTTCAAGAGTGTGGGCGTCAATTAACCATCCACAGACCCCCCTCCCAGCAAGCTGAGGTATTTTCGGCTCAATAGAGCTGTGGATGGAGCCCAAGGATAAAACCCGAGCCAAGCCCGAAGATCAGCTGTTTGTCAGTAAAAAGACTGAGGGCGGTGGGGAGAATGTCAACATCAAAGCCTGGCTGTCATGACCGGGTCAACCACTGAGTCTAATACAGCTGATGAAATGGTTGGCGAGACGGTGGCAACAGCAACTCCGGATAGGGTGTTGATAATGATGCCTGGGCTAATAGGCGCTGCATGTAGCAACACGGCGGCGATGATGTCTATAGCAAGGGGGATTACCACAATGGCGAGGGGAATGGCGCTAATGGCAGCGACGGCGACGGCAACACCAGGAGGCTGCAAGGAAGCCCTCGTTAATAGAGGAGAGGGCAATGCTGCAAAGGCTATAAATGTTAGGATCCCTTCAACCTCAAGGGATCTGTTGCACTCCTCTTTCTTGAAACTCTGAGGACTTATTAAATTAATTGAACTAAGTAGCCTGAGCAAGGTGATGGATAGGGACTGAGGATTACAAACAGGAGATGATGACTTACTCTCCCCCTCAACTGTCCCTCTCTCCTTTATCAGATCTAGATCTATTACGACCACTCAGCGTTAACTTGCAATTCTTAGATCGATCTGCAGCTTTATTTACCACCTATTCCCCAAGATTACCCTGATTATTTAACCCTAAATATTTTGTCCAGTGGCTCTGCCTTACTTTTTTGATCTAATCCTCGGCCATCGCTGGTATCAGGACTGGAGGAGATACAGACATCGAGAGTCTTGGATTATGGGGAGATAGACCACCTTCTCTTTGTTTGTTTCAAATGGTTTGGTCACTGTGAGAGGACGTCCCTTTGAGACCTCTATCCCCACCTCCTTTGGATGGACTTACTACAACCACAAGACTTCCCATCGTCGTGAGAGGGCGATGATGTTCCGATGTATTGACATTTGTAACATACTGGTCTCCCTTTTACATCTATTTCCTCCCTTATTTTAAATTACCTGTCTTAACCATCTCTAACACTCTTAGAAGAAAATGATCCTTCATCTCCTTCAACTCGCTCCTATCTTTGATGTATTCAACTGCGGAGCTCCTTGCACTGCGAGATTCCCCCCTCTCGCATGTCTGGCCCTCTCAGTTATCGAGGGCCGCCCTTGAGGACGGGTTTTGGAACCCTGAGAGGTGGTTTGCAAAAAACCGACGGCTTTGGGGTTTTTTAGATAAATCTTTAAGTTCTATTTTAAGGGGTTCTGGGAGGGATTGTGGGAATGGATCTGGGGGGATCCATAAATCCACTGAAAGGGGTAATGGGTCTGATAATCATGGTGGGGAGGATGGGGACAGAAATCTGACAAGGATGCAGGGGGATGAAGCGATGGGCATTAGCATAGTAAGTGGGAGGGGCAGATATGACGGCTGCAGGGGGCCATATTATGTTTCGGGAGTGCACACTCGTTGTTTACGAGCGATTGCCCACTCCGACCCCCAAAGCACTGCTCGTTTCCCGGGTTGTTCAGAGTCTCAGACCCTGGGTCTACGGCTGATGTTATGTAATGCCAGGTCAGTGGTAAATAAAGCCCCCCTCATTCATGATCTTATTTCAGAGGGGGGTGCTGACCTGGCAGGGATTACGGAGACCTGGTTAGGCCAGGAGGGAGGAGTTCCCCTTGTGGAAATGTGCCCGCCAGGTTTCCATGCATTCCATCAGCCAAGGACTCAGGGAAGGGGTGGGGGAGTGGCAGCAATCATTAGAGAAAGTCTTTGCCCGAGGGAGGCCACTGTTCCTCAGATAGCCGGATGTGAGTCCCTCCTTGTGAAGTGGGGTCGGGGGATTCAGATGGGCCTACTGATTGCGTACCTGGCTCCCTGCCACGTAACAGCGGTCCTGCCTGAGCTGCTCAACATTATAGCCGGGGTGGCGGTGGAAACCCCCAGACTTATTGTTATGGGGGATTTTAACCTGCCATCCACTGGTGAGATGTCGGAGACGGCTCGGGAGTTCATGGCTTCCATGACGGCCATGGACCTGACCCAGGTAGTTCAAGGCCCCACCCACTTGGGGAATCACACTCTGGACTTGATTTTTGTCTCTGATCAGTGGCTGAATGATCTAAGAATAGGGGATATAGACATCAAGCCCTTGTCATGGTCTGATCATTCTCTCCTTCACATGGACTTTCAAGTCACTTCCACCCACCGCAGGGAGACAGAACCAACCAAATGGTTCCGTCCCAGGTGCCTGATGGACCCCGAAAGGTTCCTGACGGAGCTTGGGCCATTTCCTGAGACTCTGGCTCACAACTCGACTGAGGACCTGGTGGTCGCCTGGGACAGGGCGGCTACTGGGGCCTTGGACCGCATTGTGCCTTTGCGGCCTCTGACCCGATGCCGATCTCGTCTAGCTCCTTGGTTTTCCGAGGAGCTGAGAGAGATGAAGTGTCGGAAAAGACGCCTGGAGAGCAATTGGAGGACAAGCCGATCTGAATCTGACAGGTGAGATCTTATATTAAGACCTACCTAGTGGCGATAAGAGCGGTGAAGTCTAGCTACTTCTCCGCTCTTATTGCATCTGCAGAGAACCGCCCAGCTGTGCTGTTTAGGGTGACCCGCTCCCTACTTCAGGTGGGGGTACGGGAAGATCCCTTAAAGGGTCGAGCTGAGGATTTTGTACAATTCCTGCATGATAAAGTCGCTTAGATTCGGGAAGGCCTGGACTCCGATTGGGTAGATCCAGGGGAGGAGACGGGGGCAGGTCTTGAGAGCGTTATCTGGGAAGAGTTTGACTCTGTGGCTCCTGAGGACGTGGACAGGATTCTGGGCAAGCTTAACGCTGCCACATGTTTATTGGACCCGTGTCCCTCCTGGTTGGTACTGGCCTCCCGGGAGGTTACACGAGGCTGGCTCCAGGGGATTATAAATGCTTCTCTGAGTGAGGGTGTCTTTCCCGCCGCCTTGAAAGAGGCGGTTGTGAAGCCCCTCCTCAAGAAGCCTTCCCTGGACCCGGCTATATTATCAAATTATCGTCCAGTCTCCAATCTTCGCTTTGTTGCGAAGGTTGTTGAGAGTGTGGTGGCGCGACAACTACCCCGATACCTGGATGAAGTTGTCTATCTGGATCCATTCCAGTCGGGCTTCAGGTCACGATACAGCACGGAAACAGCATTGGTCGCATTGGTGGATGATCTCTGGAGGGCTCGGGACAGAGGTTGCTCCTCTATCCTGGTCCTATTAGATCTCTCAGGGGCTTTTGATACCATCGACCATGGTATCTTACTGCACCGGCTGGAGGGGTTAGGAATAGGGGGCACCGTGCTTCGGTGGTTCTCCTCCTTCCTCTCTGAACGTTCGCAGTTTGTGTTGGCAGGGGGGCAGAGGTCGACCTCGAGGCACCTTATTTGTGGGGTGCCGCAAGGGTCAGTCCTCTCACCCCTTCTGTTCAACATTTATGTAAAACCGCTAGGCGAGATCATCCATGGTTTTGGGGTGAGTGTTCATCAGTATGCTGATGACACACAGCTATACATTTCCACCCCAGACCACCCCAATGATGCCCTTGCTGTGATGTCCCGTTGCCTGGAGGCCATGCGGATCTGGATGGGGAGAAACAAGCTCAGACTCAACCCCTCCAAGACCGAGTGGCTGTGGCTTCCGGCGTCCCGGTATAGTCAGCTGGTACCATTACTGACAATAGGGGATGAGATCTTGCTCCCCACAGAGAGGGCCCGCAACTTGGGTGTCCTCCTGGATTCACGGTTATCTTTAGAAGATCATTTGACGGCCGTGGCCAGGGGTGCCTTTTATCAGGTTCGCCTGATCCGCCAGTTGCGTCCCTTTCTGGATCGGGACGCCTTGCACACGGTCACTCATGCCCTAGTTACCTCCCGTATGGACTACTGTAATGCTCTCTACATGGGGCTCCCTGTGAAAAGCACCCGGAGGCTCCAACTGGTCCAGAACGTAGCCGCACGGGTGATTATGGGCACAGCTTGTTACGCCCATGTAACACCTGTCCTACAGGAGCTGCACTGGCTCCCGGTGGTCTTCCGGGTGCGATTCAAGGTGTTAGTTATCACCTTTAAAGCGCTCCATGGCTTAGGACCTGGGTACCTACGAGACCGTCTTTTGCCACCAATAGCCTCCCACCGACCAGTTCGTTCTCACAGGGAGGGACTACTCAGGGTACCGTCAGTCAAATTATGTCGACTGGCGACTCCCAGGGGGAGGGCCTTCTCTGTGGGGGCTCCAACCCTTTGGAATGAACTGTCCCCGGAGATACGGAATATCCCTGATCTCCGTGTTTTCCGCCGTGCCCCCAAGACCCTGATGTTCCAACAGGCGGGGCTAAACATACGAACATGTGAATGATTTTTTAAATGTTATCTAATTCTGGGTCTTATTTAATTGACCAAACTAAGTAATAATTTTAATTAGCAATTTTATGATGTTTGTGTGTCTATATTTTTCTTGACTGTACACCGCCTTGAGTCCTACGGGAGAAAGGCGGTATAGAAATATAATAAATAATAAATAAATAAATAAATAAATTTAAAAAGACAGCTGCTGCCCCTCCTGCAGATGCCTATGATGTCATGCTAAGCTAGAAGCTGTTTATCTTGGTGTGCTTGTTGCCCTACAAAAATAGCTTGGCTTTCAGTAGAAGTCTTTCCATAGACAAATATTACATATTTATTTGCATAGATATTTAATTGTATGAAATTTTACCTGAGTCTGAAATGATGCAGTTCAGAGATAGGTTTGGTTTTTCATAGAAAGCTATAATCTAAACCAAACAACCTTGCCTCTAATAGCCAAAATTTGCAAGGATAGAATCAGAAAAGCTGACTCAGAATGAATTAAGACTTGCAACAAATGCAAACAACAACAAAAAAGTTTCAGTATGTAAGGAACAAGAAAAAGGTCAAGGAAATAACTGGTCTACTAATGGGAGACGATGGCAAGAAAGCAACAAGAAGAAAGTGGAACTGCTTAATTTCTTCTTTGCCTCTGTCTTCACCCAAAAGGAAAAAATAGTCCAACCTAACAAAAGCAATACCATGGAGACAGAACAGGAATGCAGATCAAAATAGGCAAGAAATTGGAAAGAAAACACTATCTACTCTAAACAAGTTCAAATTGTCAGGAACAGATGGTTTAATCTGAGGGTTCCGAAGGAGATGTGATCTTGGAATCACTGAATGAAATCTTTCACTACTCCTGGAACATGAGGGAACTGCCAGAGGACTGGAAAACTGTTCCAACCTACAAAAAAGGGGAAAAGTGGAAACTAAAGACCAATCAGCTTGACATCAATACCCAAGAAAATCCTGAAAAAGATAATCAAGCAGTGAATTTGTGAGCATCAAGAAATTAACAAGGTGATTATCAGAAGCCAGCATGCGTTTGTTAAAAAGAGATCACTCCAGACAAACCTTATTGTCTTCTTTGATAAAGTGACTAAATTAATGGATCAGTGAAACATTGTAGATATAGTATACTTAGACTTCAGTAAGGCATTTGAAAAATAGACCATTGTAGAGAACTTCTTGGTAAGATAGAAAAATGTGAGATAGAAAATACCACCACCAGATGAAGTTGCAGTTTAGTGACCAACCACACTCCTTATGTATTCCTGAATGAAACTATTTCTACATGGAAAGAAGCATGTAATGGGGTACCTAAGATTCTGTTTTGGGGCCAGTGGTCTCTAACATCTTCATAAATGAACTAGATGAGCGGATAGAAGGGGAGCTCACCAGATCTGCAGGTGACACCAAGTTGGGGGGAATTGCTAACACTTTGCTAAGACTTTGGATTCAAGATTCAGTAGGATCTTGATAGACTTGACACTGGGCCCTAGCCAACATGCAGTTCAGTGATGAGGAAAGTAAGGTGCCTGCCCTTAGGCAGGAAAAACCAAATGCAGAAGTACTAAGTAGGCTGTACCTGGCTCAGCAGTAGTAACTGTGAGAGAGATCTAGGTGTCCTAGTGGACCACCAATTAAGCAGGAACTAGCAGTGTGCTGCAGCTGCCAAAAAAGCCAATGCAGTCTAGGCTACATCAATAGAGGGATAACATTTGCTCCAATAGTACATAAAGAGAATTCTATCAAGATATTTAAATCTAATTATGAATAAATTATGAATAAATATTAAGACTTCAAACCACAGCATGCTTACAATGATACAAGTTAATGATCAGACCAAGTTAACGCAAGACTTCAGCACATATACTATTTGGCCATCCAATACGATTGCTTAACTTTTGAGGAAGAATAAACTTTTATTCAAGTAGTTCCCAAGGTAATTCTTTCATAAAGAGAAGGAAATCAAAAACACCTATCGCTAGGTGGACCTTTCTTTGGACTTTACAGTACATATGACCCAGAATGTAATCCTAATGATGAATTTCTTCAACATGATTTAGGACCTTGGAGGTTTTCTAATCCAACCTCCTGCTCAAACTATGCATTTGTACAGAAACAAGAGTCCAATTCCTTTCTTAAGCATATGCAAAAACAACAACAATGCTTTTGATGTTTGTTATAACAAGTGAGGAGACTGGATCTCCTGATTTTATTGCCAAAATTCCTAAACAGATCGATTTTGCATCAAAACATGCAATGCATTTATGATATTGTGCATTCTCCTTTTCTACTTAGGGACTAGTTGTCAAAAACCATCAGATGAGCTCTAAGTCCGCAAACCTCAGGCATATATCTTTCCCTTTGGGAATGACAGCAGCAGTGCCTCAGTATAAAGCACTAGATATGTACATATGTTTCTTGTTGATCTATCTTCCAAACAGCATAGGGAATACTTACTTCATGCTTGACAAACATTACTATTTCCTTCTATTTAATTAATAGGGTTGAGTGAATTCTTGAATAAAGTCAAGAATTGCACCTTTCTCCCATTCCTCACTTCCTTGAAAGAATGATGCTGTGGGAAGCTTAAGAGTATCTCTCTCAAAAACTCTGTTCTGCTCTGTCCATACATGAACCATACCGTTTACAGTGAAAGGTGCAATGGCAAATTTAGAACAGCCATATACAATCTTGGTCCCCTTGGTGCTGCACTGATTTTACTTCCTTGATACATGTAGCTATAATATAAAGCATGAACACAGAAGTACAGCATTTTCCAGAAGCTATAAACAATATAAATCAAAGATACAAAAAGCTCAGTTAAAAATCATTAATTAAAAAGAGTAAGAAGGTGATAAGAAAATATATTGTAGCACCATTGCAAAGAGAGGAGGAAAGAAAATGAGGTCAGTTTGAAACATACGGAGTTCTGTGGCTTCTGGTAGGGATAAAGAGCTTGCTCTATATTTACTAGGGACTCTCAATGATATGCACATTAATCAATGGCAGGGGTAGGGGGGATTCTGCAGGAACTGATTGAAACAGAAAAAAATGATGGTTGGGTGAAGCACAGAAGAAGAAGGAAGGCTAAATATCAAAATGGAGTGCAGAAAAGTGATATGCCATGGAATATATGCATAGCTATTGCATTTTCTTTATTGGGCTCCTCCAGTTATAGTAATATTTGTGAAAAAGTATTTTAGGCTGCAGCAAGAGAGTCATAGGGCAATGCTCCACCATCAATACAACTTCCACAGAAGACACCATGATCCTAGTTTACAGTGATGCTTCCCCTGAGTTCTAGGAGCTCCAGAACTGGAGTTATTTGCTGTCCTCATTAGTCGCTATCAATTCAACTTCATATCCTTGCTATAGAAGCCATAATATTGGCGGGGAGGTTCTTTTAAATTTCAAAAGAATCCATTTTCCTTTACCTCCCTCCCATTGCTACACAATGTAAATATCTGTGACTGAGCAATAATTTCTAAACATGTTTGCATATTGAAGGAAGATTGGTAGGTGAGACAGGTAACACACTTTGCCTTCTGGTGTGTACCTCTCACATTTCTTTGGTAGTCATTTGCTTGATCTTCTCAGAGGTCTCCTAAGAACAATGAGAGGAAGAAAGAAAACAGGATTTAGCCCTTCTATCTGAAATAGCCATCCTCTTCCACAAGCATGCAGCATCAGGAAGGATGAACATGGAACAGTAAGGGAGGAAGGAGACACTCTCACATTCAACTGTATCCACCAAACCAGCCCTGGTAACTAATGATATGACAGATATTGAAGCCAATCACTCTCCTGTCCAAATTAATAATGATTACTAAGGCTTTTCCATTCTGTCAAAATGTGCCATTATAATAATAAAACCTTGACTGAATTTAAATAGTAAATTTGGGACCAAGACACCCAAACTGCTATATCCAGTATTTCTTACCTCTGCACCATCCACCCGCTCCCAAATTATCCCTAGATATTCCAACATCTTTCATGCCCCATTCTTCTCCCTGCTCAAAATGGCATGTTATCCACTAGGGTGACAATGGATACACATACCAGTGTCTCTTATAAATTCTGCACTATTTTGATATAGAGGCAGAATCTGGATCACATGGATTGTTAAAGTTCCCACTGTACACTCAAAGGTGAACATATATTAAAAAACCAGTTGCCAAAAAATGTATTTTTTCTTATGATTAAGAAGTTAACACTCTCCTTTTCCCTGACTAATTTCCAGACACTTCCAAAAAGATTGCAACATTTATAGCAATAGCTTATTGAAGTAATTTGGTTCTTTCATTATGTTATTAAATGTTTCAGGCTTGCCTTGTAATTTTATTTCTTTTCTTTTTTTATTCACAGTACCGTATTAGATGTATTTTAACTTTGGGCTGTAAGTAAAATTGATTAGTATTTTAGGATGTTATTTTTTATCGCAGCCCCAGTTAACTTTGGCTATCTAAGAAAGCTTAACTAAAGCAAACCTAGTTAGAACTTAAATGGGAGGTCACCGAGAAGTTGAAAAAGCTGGCTAGATTGGGAAGTTGAAAAGCATGCTGGATGAATGCATCAGCAATGCACATTTGCATCATAGACAGAAAAGTACACAAATATGTGCAGAATATGTGCAGGATCTGGGATTACTTGAGAAAGTATTTATTTTTCATTTACAGGGTATGGTTCTTCCTGCTACATCTCAAGAGGGCTACTAAGATTTTAAGAGGACTGGATTACTCCTTTATGAGAAAAAGAGGAACGTTAGAGATTTTTTCCCATGTAAAATGCATAAATGGGAACATAACAGAGGCATACAAAATTATGCAATTTGTCTATTTATTTGTATAGGAGGGCAAATGTTAGAAAAAGCATGACATTGCAATGCAAATGATTTGTGTGTGTATATATATATATATAGGTCTTTGGTTATTCGGGTTTTCTCCCATGTAAAATTGGAGGTGTCTTGGCAACATTTCGACGAAGTCTCATTCGTCATCTTCAGGCTGGTGTTCTCGGCTTCGTGCTTCTAGGAGCAATGTGTGTGATCGCAGCTGTTTCTCGAAATCACCAACATCCTCTGCACCAGCAAGCCACCCAAAAGCAACTTACCCAAAGAGGAACAGACAGCACTACTTAACCTGAAAGAAGACACTAGCATAATAATCCTACCAGCAGACAAGGGAAACGCCACGGTGGTTATGAACACATCTGACTACCAAACCAAATTAACCAACCTACTCCAAGACTCCACATACAAACCCCTAAACACAGATCCCACCACCTACCTGGAAAAAACCACTAGATCCAAAATAAAAGCCTCCCCCATCAGCAAAGAGATCCAGCAAAGAATCATTCCCAGAGAGAAATCATCCAGATGCCCTAAGCTCTATGGTCTCCCCAAGATACATAAAGAAGGAATCCCACTTAGACCCATAGTCAGCTCCATAGGCTCACCTCTACAAAATCTAGCCAAATTTCTCGCCAAACAACTACAGCCCTATGCAGAATCCATCAACTCACATGTAAAAAACTCATTCCAGTTCATAGAGATAATAAAGAAACAAAACTTACAGCCCAGTGACCTACTCGTGAGCTTTGATGTCATATCCCTCTTCACCCAAGTGCCAATCAAAGAAGCCTTGACAGCTATCCAAAACAAATATAACCCCCCCCAAGCACATCCTAGATCTAACCAACCACTGCCTATCCAACACATACTTCATCTATAATGGACAAAAATACAAACAAATAGAAGGAGCACCCATGGGATTATCCCTCTCACCTGTCATTGCTAACCTCTACATGGAACACTTTAAACCCAAGCTCTAAAAAAATCTGATCACAAACCGAAACTCTGGCTCAGATACGTAGACAACACCTTCATAATCTGGCCACATGGGAAAGAAAAACTGGACAACTTCCTCACACACCTCAACAGCCTACACCCCAAAATACAGTTCACCATGGAAACAGAAGCGAACAACCAACTTCCCTTCCTGGATGTCTTAGTCTACAAAAAATCCAATGGCTCCCTAGGACACACCATCTACCAGAAGAAAACACACACAAACCGCTATCTGCACGCACTCTCACACCACCACCCAGCACAGATCAACTCCGTAGCCAAGACACTCATCTCCAGAACAAAACGCTTAGCTGACGAACAACACCTAAAAACCGAACTACACACTCTCACTAACGTACTAACATCCAATGGATTCCAAAGAAATAAGATCACCAACCTAATCCAAAAAGAAACCCCCACTAAAATCCAAGACAGAGAACAAGAAAATGGCAAAGCCCTCCTCCCATACATAAAAGGCACCACAGACAGAATCAGCAAGATCCTCCACAAACACAACATCAAGACAGCATTCTGCACAAACCGAAAAATAGTCACCATCCTAAGAAACCCCAAAGACAAAATTGAGTTAGAAAATCAAGGAGTATATGAAATCCCTTGCACCGCCTGCCCCACCACATACATCGGACAAACCAACAGAAGAATAAGTGCACGCATTGAAGAACACAAGAACTCAGTTAGAAAAGAGGAACCAATTTCTTCCCTGGTCCAACACCTCAAAGCCGCAGGACATGATATTGACTTTAAAAAGACCAGAACTATCGCCAAAACTGAACACTTCAACAACAGAATGATCAGAGAAGCCATCGAGATAGAAAAATGTCCACACAGCATGAATAAACGAGATGATACCTCCCGCCTGCCAGCCATTTGGAAACCCGCCCTTATTGACAAACAAGTCTCTAACACAAAGAATGACATCAGACCCACACTCACGAGAGCCACACAGGATGTAACCACCACACATCCACGCAGAAAGCGGACTCAAACCCACACTGATGATGAGGCACGACCGCGGACCAGAAGCCAGACCACAGCTGCATCATTAGCCCCTTTAAACCCCTCCAATCCATACATGAAGCAGACTGACACCCACCATAAAGAGGTAGCACGGCCACGAACACGAAGCCAAACAACAGCAACACAGCTCACCAGCTCAAATCCCCCTGCTACTCAGCCTAACCCAAGCACAACCAAGCCCCCACCTAAACAGAACACACACCCATCCAATCAGAGCACAGCCAACCCCCCATCCAATCAGAGCACAGCCAAACCTCCAACCAATCAGAACACACCTCCACCCAATCAGAACACAGCCAAGCTCCCACCCAATCAGTTCACACCCCCACTGGCAGTTAAAAGGAAGAAACAGCTGCGATCACACACATTGCTCCTAGAAGCACGAAGCCGAAGACACCAGCCTGAAGATGACGAATGAGACTTCGTCGAAACGTTGCCAAGAAATCTCCAATTTTACGCGGGAGAAAACCCGAATAACCAAAGACCTACATACAAACACCCGCGAAAACCTCAGAAAACATATATATATATGATTTATGTACTTGCATCCAACATCAAAACACAAGTAAGAGTCTGAAGTTTGCATTGCAATGTCATCGTATATATTTCATCATTTTGAGGTCATCATGGTTGGTACCAAATGCCTGTGTTCACCTGTATGCATGCATTTGTCTCTATCAAATTTCTAGCTGTTTGCCAACATACAGTCCTGGTTTCAGATATATTAGCAACCAACAAATTACAGATTTAAACTATGAGGAATCTCATAGCATTTTAGCAGAATAAATGTACTGAAATACATAAGCTTGTACACATAACTCCTTCTAACCTGATGCTTCTGCAGCTCTTGAACATATCTGGCTAGCTCTTCTTCAGTCAGCTTCTCTTCAGGCTGCTCTTGAAAAGGGATCTTCTGGTTTTTACCTATGAGCAGAAACAGAGTTTATGATATTCAATGCACATTGAGTATGCATGTATTCAACAAAAGACCAATACAGAGATGTAGTGTGTTCTTTCACATTAATAATGGATGTTGGATCTTTTGGCAAAACATAAGGGAGAAATTTGCCATCTTTACCAGTGGATGGGGCAGAGAGAGAGAGAGAGAGAGAGAGAGAGAGAGAGAGAGAGAGAGGGAGAGAGAGGGAGAGAGGGAGAATCCCAGGTGGTTCACCTGTAGCTTCTGAAGATCTGTTGGAACGATAGGGATCTACAAGGGCAGCCCAAATTTTGGATCAGCACAGTTCTTCCATGTGAAAGGGATCAAGCCCTCCTTTTTGCCTTATTACCCAGCTTTAAAGACCATTCACTATATTTTTGATATTTTCCCTCCAAACCTTCTGCTCTGCAGTTATAGCAATAGCAATACAGTAGCACTTAGACTTATATACCACTTCACAGTGCTTTACAGCCCTTTCTAAGTGGTTTACAGAGTCAGCATATTGCCCCTAACAATCTGGGTCCTCATTTTACCGACCTCGGAAGGATGGAAGCAGTGATAGGAATCAGCCGGTTCACACTGGTTCAGCCGAACTTTGTGTGCAGTTTGGTGAACTGGATGAATCACCATGCAGTTTACCACTCCCCCTCCCTGACACTCCTCACCTCGGCCAGCCTCTCCTGAGGCCATTTTGACATCTTGCTGCTCTTTTATCGCACACTGTTTTGCATGCGATATCTGCGCATGCAAAACCCCAAGGCAGCTCTGACAAGGCACTTGGAGGGAGTGGCTGGGGCTACTAAAAAGGCAGCCAAGTGCCTGAAGGACCTCATCTGTTACCAAGAGCCTCAGCTGGTGGCCAGGGAGGCCTCGGCTGGGTTCTTCAGAAGGCAACAGTCTTTGCAGGGGGCCAATCTAGCACCTGGAGCTAGCTCTGCCCTAAGGAGACTGGGGACGTCATTGGGGCTCCAGCGAAGAGGGGCTCAGGTCCGGTCTCCATGTGGCACCATGATCTGATGAACTGCTGCTGGCACTGTGCGGCTACCTGGGTGGCAGGTGGGCACCCCTCACCCCTCCCCTCCCCGCCACTCCTCACCTGGCCTGAGAAGGTAAGGGCAATGGTGGGAGAGGGAGACCAGCAGCTCCAAGCCTGCCATGCTCGACCTGTGGGGGGTACACGGCAAGGCTTGGCTGTCTGTATGGGCAGGCAGGCAAGCAGGAGCCAGCTGGCAGAGGGGTGATGTGAGCGGCACAACCTCATAGCCATAACTCTTCTATGCGCATGCCTAAAATGGCGGTTGTGCCCTGAAGCTCTGCGGAGGGATGGGTGATATCGGGCAGATTTTGGGAGCCCCGGGGCCGCTTTGACCATCTATGGCCACCACCCCGGTAAGCAGAACATTATGCCAGCCAGGAGAGTGTTGTAACACTCTCGAAATCCACGGTGCTGATGGAGGGGCGGCATTGAAGTGCAGCGGCTGCGGCGGCTTTATGGGCGGCGGTGGCAGCAGCAATAACAACTTGCTCGTCGGCTGCTTGTTAGCTGGCCCCCTGAGGCTTCCCAGCGAGAAGATCAGCTGGGGAGCTATGATGCCGGCAATTGAAGTAATGTCGGCTCCGGCAACAGCTGAGGCAGCGCCGGCATCGGCTGCGGCGGCAACAGCATGGGCGTGGGCGTCGCCAGCGTCGGCGGCAGCATGGGCGACTTTCTCTCCGTCAGAGCCGGAAGCCTCACGGGGGCGAGGACAACGCCGGATGGATGCGGGTGCTGGTGTGGGCGGCGCCCGGTCGATTCCTATGGGGGCGCTGACAATGCCATGGACGGCGGTGCAACAGCTGGCCGAGAGGATAGCCGGTGGTCTGGCAGCAGCGACCGACGATGATACCCTTCCAAGGCATGTTTATTGGCCTGAGGAAACGTAGATTGACTTTTCCTGGGCCTAGGATTGGCGTTATTTATCTATCTACCATCTTAACTATCTTGTTCGCTTACCGCATAGAGTGGGGCAACTGGGGATGTACTGAAGGAACTGGTTCAGAACTGCATTTTCATCACCGGTGGGGCCATTTCATCTGCTCCTTGGCCAAGTGGGGCCAACCACCGTGAGAGGGTGGCTATTGGACGCCTACCGGTTGGTCGATATGCCAAGATTCCTACCCACTGTAGTGAGAGGACAGTGGGGACTTATTTGAGACTCTTGAATTTCCAGTTACACCCAGGATTGCTTCCCCCTTTTATACCAGCATGGCAGACTCCCTAGCTATATTTATCACCGTCCCAAAGCTTGGGCCTATACTGGATGTATTTTACAACCGATCTTCTAGCGCTGCGAGACTCCCCCCTCTCGCAGGCCTGGCCCTCCACGTTATCGAGGGCCTATCTTGATGATGGGCTTTGGAACCCCGAGAGATGGCATGCAACGAAGAGGGGGTTGAGGGGTTTTTTAGCTAAATTTTTAAGGAAAATTTTAAGGGGACCCGGGAGGGAGTTGTAAAAGCGGACCTGGGGGGGTCCAGATAGCGACTGAGCGGGATGATGGGTCGATTAGCTGCAGCAGAGGGGTCGCAAAAGGAAAATTAACCGGGGAGCAGCGGGACAACAGGAAGGGCTGTGTAATTGAAATAATGAGTGGGAGGGACAGGTATGATGGGCGCAGGGGGTCATATCAAGTGTCGGGGGTGCGCATGCGCTGTCTCCGAGCGATTGCGCACTCCGGCCCCCAATGCGTGACTCCTGTCCTGGGTTGTGCAGAGTCTCAGGCCCAGGGTCCGCGGCTGATGTTGTGTAATGCCAGGTCGGTGGCTAATAAAGCCCCCCTCATTTGTGATCTTATTTTGGAGGGGGGTGCGGACCTGGCAGGTATTACGGAGACCTGGTAGGGCCAAGAGGGGGGGGTCCCCCTCGTCGAGATGTGCCCGCCAGGTTTCCGTGCATTTCATCAGCCAAGGGCCCAAGGGAGGGGTGGGGGAGTGGCGGTAATTATTAGGGAAAGTCTTTGTCCGAGGGAGACCACTGTTCCTCAGATAGCCGGATGTGAGTCCCTTTGGGTGAAGTGGGGCCGTGGGGTGCCGATGGGTTTGCTGACTATGTACCTGGCACCCTGCCACGTGGCAGCAACCCTGCCTGAGCTACTCGTCATTGCCGGGGTGGCGGTTGATACCCCCAGACTTATTGTCATGGGGGATTTCAACCTTCCATCTGCGGGTGAGGTGTCAGAGGTGGCTCGGGAGTTCATGGCTTCCATGACGGCCATGGACCTGACCCAGTTAGTTCAAGGCCCCACTCACATAGGGGGACACACTCTGGACTTGATTTTTATCTCTGGTCAGTGGTTGAATGATCTTGGTAGAGGGGACCTAGATATCAAACCCTTGTCATGGACAGATCATTCGCTCCTCCACTTAGACTTTCCTACCGCCTTCCCCCGCCGCAGGGAGACGGAACCGACCAGAAGGTTCCGTCCCAGGCGCCTGATGGACCCTGAAAGGTTCCTGACGGAGCTTGGGCCGTTTCCTGAGACTCTAACACACGACTCGACTGAAGAGCTGGTGGCCGCCTGGGAAAGGGCGGCCGCTGGAGCTTTGGACCGCGTCATGCCTTTGCGGCCTCTGACCCGATGCTGATCTCAATTGGCTCCTTGGTTCTCTGAGGAGCTGAGAGAGCTGAAGCGTCAGAAAAGACACCTAGAGAGCATTTGGAGGACTAGTCAATCCGATTCTGACCGGACACAGGTGAGGTCTTATACCAAGACCTACCTAGTGGCGATAAAAGCGGCAAAATCTAACCATTTTTCCACTCTTATCGCATCTGCAGAGAACCGCCCAGCCGCCCTGTTCAGGGTGACCCACTCCCTTCTTCGGGGGGGAGTGCAGGAAGATCCCTTGCAGGGTCGTGCGGAGGATTTTGTGCAATTCCTGCATGATAAAGTCGCTCGGATTCGGGATGGCTTGGACTCCGATTGGATGAGTCCACGGGAGGAGACAAGGGCAGGTCTTAAAGAGTGTTATCTGGGAGGAGTTTGATCCTGTGACTCCCGAGGATGTGGACAGGGTTCTGGGTAAGATTAGTGCCACCACGTGTTTATTGGACCCGTGTCCCTCCTGGTTGGTACTGGCCTCCCGGGAGGTTACACGAGGCTGGCTCCAGGGAATTATAAGTGCTTCTCTGAGTGAGGATGCCTTTCCTGCCGCCTTGAAAGAGGCTGTAGTGAGGCCCCTCCTCAAGAAGCCTTCCCTGGACCCGGCTGAATTAGCCAACTATCGTCCAGTCTCCAACCTTCGTTTTGTGGCGAAGGTTGTTGAGAGCGTGGTGGCACGACAACTTCCCCGGCATCTGGATGAAGCTATCTATCTAGACCCGTACCAGTCGAGCTTCAGGCAGGGGTACAGCACAGAAACGGCATTGGTCACGTTGGTGGATGATCTCTGGAGGGCCCGGGACAGGGGTTGTTCCTCTGTCCTAGTCCTATTAGATCTATCAGCGGCTTTTGATACCATCGACCATGGTATCATGCTGCAGCGGTTGAGGGGGTTAGGAATAGGGGGCACCGTTCTGCGGTGGTTCTCCTCCTTCCTCTCCGACCGCTCGCAGTTTGTGTTGACAGGGGGGCAGAGGTCGACCTCGAGGCGTCTCGCATGGGGAGTGCCGCAAGGGTCGGTCCTCTCGCCCCTCCTGTTCAACATTTATGTGAAGCCGCTGGGCAAGATCATCCGTGGTTTTGGGGTGAAGTGTCATCTGTACGCTGATGATACTCAGCTGTACATCTCCACCCCAGACCACCCCAATGATGCCCTTGATGTGATGTCTCGCTGCCTGGAGGCCGTGCAGGTCTGGATGGGGAGGAACAGGCTCAGACTCAACCCCTCCAAGACCGAGTGGCTGTGGCTTCCGGCGCCCCGATATAGTCAGCAGGTGCCATCGCTGACTATTGGGGGTGAATCTTTACCCCCCACAGAGAGGGCTCGCAATCTGGGTGTCCTCCTGGACACACGGCTGTCTTTAGAAGAGCATATGACGGCCGTGGCCAGGGGGGCCTTTTATCAGGTCCGCCTGATTCACCAGTTGCAGCCCTTTCTGGACCGGGACGCCCTGCGCACGGTCACTCACGCCCTTGTTACCTCCCGGTTGGACTATTGTAATGCTCTCTACATGGGGCTCCCCTTGAAGAGCACTCGGAGGCTCCAACTGGTCCAGAATGCAGCTGTGCGGGTGGTTATGGGCGCAACTCGTTGTGCCCATGTGAAAGCCCTCCTGCGCGAGCTGCACTGGCTCCCAGTGGTCTTCCGGGTGCGATTCAAGGTGTTGGTTACCACCTTTAAAGCACTCCATAGCATAGGACCCGGGTATCTTCGAGACCGTCTTCTGCCACCAATAGCCTCCCACCGGCCAATCCGCTCCCACAGAGAGGGTCTCCTCAGGGTGCCATCGGCCAAGTTATGTCGGCTGGCGACACCCAGGGGGAGGGCCTTCTCTGTGGGAGCCCCAGCCCTGTGGAATGAACTGCCCCCGGAAATATGTAAGATCTCTGACCTCCGGGTGTTTCACTGCGCACTGAAGACCCTGTTGTTCCGCCAGGCTGGCCTATCAACATAATAATTTTAAATTGGGGTATTTTAAATTTCTGGGGTTTTAAATTGAGCCAAATCTATTTAATCATTTTAATTTTTAACTGCTGTTTTGTCTTGTGTTTTTAAATAGGCTGTACACCGCCTTGAGTCCTTCGGGAGAAGGGCGGTATAGAAATAAAATTATTATTATTATTATTATTATTATTATTATTATTATTATTATTATTGCCGTTGGCCACCCGCATCTGCTGGCAGCTGCGGCAGGTGAAGCCCAGCAGCTGCGGAGAGTCCACGTTCTGGCCAGTCCCCCGGGGACCGTGCCTCTCTCTCCATCTCCTACCTCCATGGGAGACCACGAACCACAGAAAGTGAGGCTCTCCTGGATGGCCACCTCACACATGCGCCTGGCATTGCACTCTCCCAACACAGGGAAGCAGCTCCATGGCGACCTCCGGGAGCTGCAGTGGGAGCAGCTGCTGGCCAGAGAGCAGCTCTGGGAGCAGGAGCCTGCAGCCTCAGCAGGCCAGTGGTGGAAAGGCCCTGGCCCCTTCCCTCACTGCTTTAGGCAGGCTTAGAAAGTCTGCCAGGCTGAGGGAAAGTGCATGTGCCACATGCTGCAAATGCCCCACACTTGGCTTCCCTCCTCCCTCCATCTCTTCAGTGCTCACTCACTTGCTTGCATTCTCCCTCCCCAGACTAGCTTGACACAGGCAGCAGCTCACAATTGCCCTTTGCAAGCCTGCTGTCGATGAAGCTGAGCGCCAGTGGGGGCTGGCTTTTTGCCTAGGTTTGTCCAGCTGTCGGGGGGGAAATGGATGGGGGCCTGGGGGGGAAGCTGTTTCCCCCCCCCCCCCGACAGCGAGCAAACCTAGGCAAAAAGCCAGCCCTCACCGGCACCCATGCTTCCCCAACAGCGGGCTTGCAAAGGGCCTGCGTCAAGCTAGTCTGTAATATCAATTTTCCTTTGCTAATCAATAGGAGGCCCAGCAAGTTTGGATTTCTGACTGGACACTCTGATAAAGATAAAGCAATCTTTTCCTTAAATATTGCAAAACCTCTTGTCCCTAATTTTGGCTCCTCCTCTCCAGTAATATTTAACTATTACTTACTGATAACTATGGCTTACAGATTTACTAGATCCTAAACAAACAAGTATCATATTCAATTCTTCAAGGTCTTATGAACCGTCTCAATTATAGATACCCATAAGTGGAAGAAATTCAGCTGTCAGTTGTAGACAGGGGATTGTTTCCTTAATAGACAAATAAATGATCAGTGTGAGACAGTGAATTAAATGAGAAAGCTATGACCCTGGCAAGCTATTCATCAGTTGTGGAATGTATTATTTCTGTTGCCTTCTTTATATCAAATAAGTTCTTTACCCCAGAAAATCAGTTCGTTTGATCAAAAATGGATAATCTGTCTTGATGTGCTATTAGTGAGATCAATATGTTATTCTACCTCTTTTTCTTTAATCTGTAGTATTTTCATTTATTTAGTCAAGCCACTTGTTGAATCAGAACATGTTTTTCTTTGAAAAGTGGGGTGAATCCTTCTAAAATGACTAAATTATCCAATTGCATAGACGATAGACCATACCTTCACAGGTCATGGCGGTGCACACCCAGTTCCCACAAGCACAGACGCAGCGGTTACAGTTCACTTGAGTCTCTGCTCCATCTTCATATGATTCGTCTTCTAAGGCACATTCTAAATAGAAAAAAAAATGCAGTTAATGTACATGGGAAGAAATATAAAGATAAAGGTTTCCCCTATCCACTCATGTCTGACTCTAGAGGACAGTGCTCATCTCTCTTTTTATTCACAATTTGGGGAAGAGTCAGAGCGACTGGATGGAGCTAAGGGTTTACTGGCCAGATGCCTTTCCTGATGCCACACAAACTTCGCAGAATTTTTTTCTTTGCACCCTAGGAGAGAAACATTTGTCATTACCTAGGATTGAATTCTCAACCTTCCAAGTGGGAGGCCAGCATCTTCATCACTAGGCCACCATGTCATTCTATAAGCATATGCAATACATATCTCAAAATGGCAGGGTGGCAATTAATCCCGTTCTGCTTTTGGGTAATTGCACCTTGATTAGAGAATGGATCGTGGCCTTTCCTTGCAAGTATACCTTAAGAAAATAAACCCGAAGATATATTTTCTAAGAAAAACTCATTTATTTGTTATAAAGAAAATAAAACATCTTACTAATCTAATTAGTTACATCTTGGCAAAGCTTTCCCGGCCACCTCTCTTGGCCGGAGAACAAAGAAAGATAGAAGAAAGTGAAAGAATGTGGATATGCGCAGTTAGCTTACTGATAAGAACTTGGCAAGCTATGGTAAGTCTGAAAGTTCAAAAATAAGAGCTCATCTGATAAATACAAAAACGCAGTGACACAAAACTCCAAATTTGGGCAGAAATCCAAATATGTTGCAATTCGTTCAACTACATTTTGAAACAAATGTGCACATATTACTTCTACCCTACTATATTCAACTTTCCCCATTCTTCTAACAACTCCAGGCCCATTTTGTGCAGACACAGAGCTCCTACTTTTTTCTGGTGGATTGAAGGTTGGGTTGAGGCACTTCAGGAATTCATTGAAACTCAGCTTCCAGTCAGCATTTTCATCAGAGAGCTCAATGAGAGCATCTACACAGAGTCCCCTGAAAGACATACAATACACAGTTATCCAATCAAGAAATGACTCCCAAACACATCACAGGAAAGTGTGAATAGTTAATATTTAAATTATAAATTGCCGTCATGTCAGATCACTTCATATGAACCAGACTTTTGGGCTGTCTACATCCTGTGGAAATGGATTTTTCCTGCGGCATACATCTTATTTCTAGTACTCAGGAGAAGCAAATTTCTCAAGAAAGAATTTCATAATTCATTATCTTTTGGAGTCATAGTTATATATTCTGATGTTCTTCTGCCTGAAGCTACCTGAGAAGCTTGTTCGTCTCTTGATTCATATAAGTAGAAATGTTGACAGCTGACTCATTTTGTTCTACAAACTTCAAGAATTCGTTGGAGTCAAGGCGGGAATCTCCATCATCAAAACTCTGTAAAATCACAAAAAAGCATTTAAGAAATGTTAAACTACCTGGAGTTTCCATCAGCTCCCTTTCCCTGAAATAAACTGACAGACTTGATAATCAGTGATTTTTTAACATGTTGGAAAATCTGAGATTTCAGCACTCTGCACTCCCTGTCCACAAGAGTGCGGCCCTGCACACGGACATCCAACTGCATACATCAGCACAATGGCACATTGCTCTTGTTTTTTTTTTTTAATAGCTCAAGCTGTTCTTATTTGTAGTCATACAAGTTTTCACACTCCTTCCAATGTAATACATATTAGTTAATTTATTTATTGTTTATTGGATGGATGTGCTGCTCATCTCATCTGGAGGCGACTTTGGGTGGCTTACAAACAATGCTTTACTGAAATTCAGGCTAAGCTTATTAAACTTCCTTTATCAGAAAGTTAGCATTAAAAGTTTTGATACTCTGAAAAGAGGAAGATCGATTATCCCTTAGTGTCTGTTTTTTTCATTCATTCATTCATTCATTCATTCATTCATTCATTCATTCATTCAATTTCTTTAGCTACCCATCTCAATCAATGTCTCTGGGTGTCTTATAATTCCAAAATATAAAAACAATTAAAATAATAAAAAGCAATTTAAAACAGTAAAAACAATTATTCATGATCCCGTAAGCTACATTAGATGCAGTACTTCAACTACCTCATTCATACCTTGAAGTACTTTTCCAAGATGTCTGTATAGTTGCTGCCTTTGGAGAACCACCCATCAGGAATGATTTCAGCTTCAAGCCACTGGATGACACGACGCCGAAGTTCATCACGATCAGTCTGATAGCAGACCACTATTGAATGGGGAGGCGGGGAGGTAGGACCAAGAATGTAAAGCAGAAGAAACAACAGAGAAGGGGGAAATGGTTTTTTAAAAATGAGGTTATTGAGAACACTTTTATTTTAAACCCTGTGTTTCCAAACATTGTGACCCCCCTAGGGGTTTATGAGCAACTTAAGAGGGTGAAGTTGCAAAAATCTGATCAAGCTTGTATAGGCAAAATTTAAGTGCTGTCCAAACTCACTTGGCGCTTTGAAACCTGCTTTGTCTGTGTAGATTAAAAGTGGAATTATTAAAAGTGACCAATTATACTTCTTGCCTAGCTCTGATCCCCACCCCCCAAATAACCAATTTTTCAAAAGGGCAAGTTTCACAAATTCATTTATCACTTTAGGGATCATAATAGAGCAAAGTTTGAGAATCTCTATTTTAATTTTTAGAAGAAAATGGTTTGGAATATATTTATTTCCCAATATTTGCTTTACTCTTTAGGTGCATGACATATCTGAAAGAAACTACTTTCAGGGGGAAAAAGCCTTTCATTGCCTTAGGGAGGGAGAGGGACTCAACACTTTGCTGAGTCCCTTATGGATTTTCAATTACTTTGGTTTAATAGACAAATGAATTTCTTGGAAGATATTGTGGCAAAGAATGCTAATATGAATTTTAATCTATATACAGAAATAAGATTATTAAAATACTACATCCTATCCTAGTGACTCAACTGAACTAACACATTTAGACTTCTCTCTACAAGTGATCTGAACAATTAATTGTACTTCAGTGCTATGACTGCATCGTATTAGAATGGAAAAAAATTGCTGAAAGAATTAGGGAAAGGGGAGAAGAGAAATATGATTCCCCCACCCCCCTGTCTTCAGGACATTCAATAGTTTTGTTTTAAATTACTCCAAAAATCAGGATCTGAGGATGATGAAGAGACAACTCTTAAGAATGCAGCACTTCCTATTAAAATACCAAAAGATTTTAACAAAGGATTCAAATTCAGTATAAAATGTAAAGTACTGTCCAACATTAAATGGGAAAATGTTAATGTTCAGTTAATATATTCAATAACAACACAGTTTATGATATGTACCACTTAGGCATTTTCAACTTCTCCCAAATTATTGATTGATACTTTACATTTTAAAAAACCTTCCATTCTTTTTCAAAACAACATTTATTCAGACATATTGATTCTTCATTTGCAAGGAGCAGGACATTGCAGGACACTGAATATGATCAGTATGCAACAGGCAGAAATCTGTCACTTGTAGTTGTAGTATTCCACCTATTCAATTTCCATCTATTTCATTTACTACAGTAAAAATAATCTGAGGGAAATATATCTTAATAGATATAATGGTATGTGAGTATGACCTTGAGGGATAAGGGGAAGAGGAAACAATCAAACAAGAGAAGCAGGGGTCCTCAGTGGTTTAATAGTCAGAGAAAAAACTTAGGAAGGACCCATAGTAATGGATCAAGCACTTAAAAGTGGTAGCGGCAAGTTTATACTTTCAGATTTGCAAGGTTCTGTTAATGTAACCTTACAATAAAGTAGGATTAGCTCATCTAGTCATGTTTTCTGTCTGGTTTACCTGGGAGGACTGACAATAGACGATTTGGTTATAGATTCATCCAAGGCAATGGCTAAAGAACTTCTACCTATTTGGGTTCTCTGGTTATATCTTCTTTTCTTCCTATGTGTTCTTCTTTTGAGGGGCTTTGTAAGAGAAAAGCCATCTTAGTCTATGGGCAAAATGTCAAAAAAAACCTAACAGTACTTTCCTAACAAATTTTATTTCTTAAAATTTTAAAAAATGTTTAGATATTAAACAGTTTATGCCTTTAAAAATTGGAATTAGTTGGAAAAGCTGTTGTCAATCTTCTGAATATTAGGAGTGGGGTTTTTTTTAAATGTAGGATCACTTTTCTTTATATTAAATACATTTTGGAATCTGTATGCGAAAAAAAAGACAATAAATAGAGTATCTATTGATAGAGTACAGTATTTTGGAAAGGAAGAGACTCTTCTTGAATGACCAGGGGGAGGGGCTTAAGGAGAACCATGGCTCTTTAGGATTATCACCCTATTGTTAATCCTGGTTCTGTTTCTTATGGCTGCAGTCATGGGTGGGCTTCCCTCGAGCTCAACTGCTTTAATGAACATAAACTGTCACTGCTCATCATCCCTCCCCTTGGGGAATGGATATCCACACTGATGGTCCCTGGAGGCAACTGGATGGTCAAAGCCCCACCCCTTTTTAATGTGCCAGATGCATTGCCTGCATGTCAAAAGGGTGCTGTTTTGGTTACCCAGCCATGCCCCCCTGCTTTGAAACCAGTTACTGTTGCCGAGGATGCTCTTCCATCAGATAAATAAAATATTCATAGAGGTTATTACGGTTATCATTATAACTACTGCTGGTATCTTTAGAATGATTGCCTGCCAATTAATTAAAATTTAGGCCACAATCCCTAATCCTAACAAGCCACTCAATCCCTCCATTTCTTACATCTATATTAAATAAATAATTCTGGGCAAAGGAAACCCAAACTCTCTTACTCCTCAATCCTCCGCTTGAGGTTAAAGCTGTATTCCCTGACTAAATTCACAGGACGCACAGGTTAGCCATCACATTTTAGATTGCTGTGTTGTGTAAAATCAGATTTATTATGGCATATAAATCCAGAAAATTGGGTGGAGGAAACCGTTCTTAAAGTTTACATGGATAAGCATACAATACAAACATAACTTCAAATAAAAAATATACACTGCATTCCATTTTTAAACTTTATAAAATGTTAAATGTTTAATGAGGAGCAGAGCGGTAGAATATGATAATCAGAATACGGTAGATGTTTCAGGAAGATAGTTTCAGACCATCTAGGAGCAGACAATCTGCTCTTCAAAACACTTCTCCAAATATCAGGCCCATCTTTCCAAACCCTATTACTGTGTAATATACTGCATTTTTTCTGTGTCATAAAAACTGAACAAATTTAATAATAATGCATAATAAAAATAATAAAAAGTAAAATACATCATATAAATGTATTTACCTGGACTTGCAGCTGAATTCTCAGGCTTCTTCTCTATTAATAGGAAAAGATATGGTCATTTGATCAAAATTTGGATGCTTAGCAACTGACTCATATTTATGACTGTTGCAATGTCCTTGAGTCATGTGATCACCTTTTGCGATCTGACAAGCAAGAGTAATGGGGAAGCCAGATTCGCTTAATAATCATGTTACTAATTTAATAGCTGAAGTGATTGATTTCACTCTTGTGGCAAGAAAGATCATAAAATGGGGCAAATTCACTTAACAACTGTCTCATTTAGCAGCAGAAATTTTGGGCTCAATTGTGGTCATAAGTCAAGGAGTACCTGTAATTCTGCCCCACCCCTTCTAACCAACAGCCCCTTAAATACTTGAGAATAACGTCTCTTTGCAGGCTTTTCTTCTCCAGGCTAAAAATAACACTTCCAAATATTCCATGACATTATTTTCTTCCAGGTGCCTTGTTTAGCAGCTACCTCATTTAGCAACCATTTGCAAATGTGATGGTAAAAAATATTAAAAATCATTGTCCAAACAACATGTACCCTTACAATCCAATTTCATGCACTTGATAACAACACGGTAGTAAGATTGATGCTAGCATATCCATATGAGAAAACTTTATTTGAATTCTCTCTCCCTCTCTCCCTCTCTCTCTCTCTCTCTCTCTCCATTTTTCATTTAAGACTATTTTGTTTCCAATTTAAGGAACGGATTGTAGTAGCTAAATGAGGAGAAGATGTAATTATATTTTCTAACTGTCATTGAGTTTGTTTACTGAACAGCAGAGGCCCCAGTGTAGAAACCTTTATTGGATCACTTGACTCTTTTAGCTTGACACTGAGCCACCAATGTACAATCACTGGTATCAGTGTTCAACCAGGTATGTCTAACAGTAATTCAGTCCACCCTACATATTTTCAATATTCTCTCTTTTCCTCAGCCGTGCCTTTTAATAAGAAAAGTGAAGAAATCACCACTTGTGTCTCCATTTTCTTCACCTTCTTATCCAGTGTTTCATAATAATGAAGTGCTGCAGTATTTTCTTTATTTTTTTTGTAAATATTTTTTATTTATTTTTTCAAATTTAAACATAAAAACATAACTTTCAAGAGCAAAAATCTCGATCCGGTCATAGATGGTTACCACGCTTACATTCCTTTCACAAGCTCAATTCACAATTTCCATTACATCTTTTATAAATAAACAAAAAGAGGGGGGAAAAAAAGAAGATAAAAAAGAAATTCAAAACTTAAGAAAAAACCAATTTTACCTCAAATTTCACATTTTCATCTATATAAATCCATTATATCTATCCAAAATTAGTTTCAAATTCACTTTCACTCATTTTTACATCTGCATAACAATTCTAAACATATCTTTATTCTTCTTTACCTTATATCTTATACAAGTAATATCAAAATAATTTTTACAATATTCTAACCTCTTAAGTGTTTACCTTACAATTTTATCACCATTTATTCTTAGTTTCAATTCAATACCACTCCATTTTTATTATATTTTATAAAACAACATTTTATCTAATTTTAATCCTTTGACCCTTATCCTCAAATCAGTTTATCTTAGGTTTTTTTTCCCAGTTTACATATTACACAGATTTCTCTCAAAGGCATATTTTATTTACTCCAATTTCTAATATATTTTCCACTATATCTCCCTCTAATATTTAACTATCTTCCATCTTGTTCTATTTGATTAATTCTCAGCTTAATCCCCTCCAAAACACCAACTATTTAGTTGATTTTAGAATAGTTCCTCAATCTCCTCCAACTCTCCTCCTATTTGTTTGACTGTTTCCAGCATTTTGTGGGCTGATTTCCAGCACAGTCTCCTCCTTGACTCCCTCCATTGTTTGGCTGATTTCCAGCATAGTCTCCTCCAACTCTCCTCCTATTTGTTTGGCTGTTTCCAGCATTTTGAATTAATTTCCAACGTATTTCCACCGAGTCTCAAACTCTTATCTAGTTGGTATCCATCCCACACATTTTAACTGTAATATAATTATCTGTTTTATATCATTTTTCCATCCTGCTCTTTCAATTTAAATCTCAGTATATTTCATAATAGTCATCATTTCCAACTTGTATTACCTTAATTCAAGACTAATCACTAGCATCTGTGTATCTTGTATTTTATTCAATCAATCCTTATTCATCAGTTTAACATTTGTTTGCAAATTAAAATTAAAACACATTACATCAAACAGTACATTTTCTTAAAATTTTCCTGCCTCAAAATATATTCTTCTTTATTATTTTTATCCCCTTGATATCATCCACTATTTTAATAGCCACCTCTTATTTTCTATTTTTATTATTTCACAACCCTTCCTGTTTTTATCCAAAAATCATATATACCTAGGCTTTTAAACTTTATCATATATACATAGGCTTTTAAACTTTACATTTCAGTTAGTCACATTTAGATTTATCCACTTTAATTCTTCCTTTTCTTCCTTTTCCTCTCTGTCCAAAGTGCTCTATTTCAAGGTTCATCAGTTCAAAGTAAAGAATTTCTGTATGTCCCTTTAAAACTTTTAAAATGTCTGATCCAAGCGTAGTGCATCAGCTTCCTGTCTTTGTTAACTACGCCACACCTAGTTTTGTCAGTCTCCATTGTTAAAATCCAAAATGTTCTTTCTTTCTTCTTTCTTCTTTCTTAAAATCATCTGGGACAGAGTAGGAATCTCCAAAATCCTTATATCCAATATTAATTTCAAGTAATCCAAGGTAAAAAGCCAATTAACATGTTTCTTTTCCACCCGGAAAGGGAAATCTCTTTAATCCACTTCTCTGTTTAATCACTGCAGACTCCATGGCTATTTTGTAGTCATCCATCTCTATCTTCATTAGCTTCATTTTCTTTTAGAGGCATTAATTTTCAGGAATATCCATTTCTCCTCTCCACTCCAGTTAAAGGCACAGTCAAATTTCAGAAATTTATTAATACCAAATCATCCAGTTTAAGTTTACTGCAACAAAATTCAACTTGGGTCTTTTACCCATTTTTTTTCCTTTTCAATCTTTAAGCCCCGCAGTCCAATAGCCGCTTTTAATTTGGGGGTCTTATTTTCCAGTAATTCCAAATAGGTACGTTATTGCCTGGGTTGGTGTCACTCACCCAGCTTCTTGATTTTTGTTCTTTCTTCATCTTCTTCCTCCAGCACAATCCTTGTTCCCGGTTGCCGCAGTTTCAGGGCAGCCACCATGGCTGCCATCCCGCTGCCGCCGGCGTGAAGGAGAAGCCTCCGGCCCCGAGGAACCCGCCCGTTCCTCTCGGCCGCCCAAGGCGTTCCTTCTTGTCCCCCTGTCCCTACAAGACAGGGGAGGTCCGCAGACCTATCGGCGGCAGCTTAGCAGAGGGGATTTGGCAGGGCTCTGCGGAGCTCGCCATTTCCCCGTCTGTGTCCCCGCGGCGCCAACCGGAAGTCCCCTAAGTGCTGCAGTATTTTCAAAAGATTTATCTGATGATATCACATAGAATCATCAAATGAAATGGCCAATATAGAAATTTAATAAATACCATTTTCTTTCACTGTGGGTAGGTAGAAGTGAATTATTTGTCTGTTGCCTTAAAAATTCTTGGGAGCCTTTCCCTTACATTCAGAATGTGAGCTCCAGGAAGGCAGCAAACTGCTCTAAATAGACTGTCAAACTGCTTCCTGCCTCACAACAGTCTTTGGTCGCTATCATTTACTGCCAGAACTTTGGGATAAAGGCAGGCATCCTCCCCTTTGCAGAACTTGTAGAGCAATGTTTCTCAACCCTGGCAACTTGAAGCTATATTGACTTCAACCCCCAGAATTTTGGAAATTGAAATCCATACATCTTCAAGTTACCAAGGTTGAGAAACACTGTTATAGAGTCTTCTTCAGTCCCTAGAACAATGGCATTAATTACCTAATCTGAAGTGTTCTTTTACATTTGACCAAATTCTTTTATACCAGGAATTGTGCTTAGAGAATTGTTAAGAAATTGATACTACTGATATTTCTTTATATTTAATTTCCTTCACAGCTTTTTTATACAACAGCAGAGTGGAGGGGAACACCAGATCTTGGAGGGGAACCTCATTCTAGAGGGTAGGTGCTGCTACAGACATTCTGGGAGATGACATTGTTTAATTGAAGAAGCTCAGAGCACACCAACCCTACAAGATCAAATTGGTCAGGCAGATATACTTTTGTGTGCTTCTTTTTTTTCCTCCAATGTTTTTCTTTATGTATTGGCAAAAATATTTTTAAAAAATTAGATGTATTCTCAATACAGAATACAGAAGACTTTCTAACCCGAACTTTATGGTAGAAAGAAGCTGGATTTTTCTGGAATGGCTTCTTAAACTAACTAATTAAAAATGAGAAAGAACATTGGCTTCTAAAATTGCAAAGTTTTTCTTTCATATGCATTGAAGTCTTCTGTGAGAAATAAATGAGTGAGCTCTTGGTACAAAAGGGAAATAAATTTAACAGAGATCAGATGATATGACTACAATAATTTGAACATAGCAATTAAGCAATGTTGTTTGTTCAAAACAAACAGTACATTACTGTAAAAGTATTCATTCCTGCTTAGAAATCCAGTTGAATGAACCTGGAAACACTGTAGAGAGCACGTGGATTCAATTAGGTGAAGGAATGAATAAAATGCTGCTGATGTCTACTACTGTTTTCCCAAGCCAAGAAGATGTGGCTGATCCTTTTCAAAAGATGATGTCAAGAATTGGGTGACAGAATCACAAAAGGGGCTCGTTTTTCATCAGAATAAAAGCTGCTTGATCAAGGTGACAAAATGCACAGATCTACTAGAAGCCACACTGTGAAGCAAATTGTTCAAAATAAAAGCTAGTAATAATTTGCACCCTAATTTCCAAAAATGTAATATTTATGTTTCATTTCTATTACATTTCTGTTTGAGGCAGCAAGAAAGATCGAACATTGGAAAGACAGAACCATTCTGAATTTATAATGTTTCACCTTGTATTCATGAACTGGTTCTTCATAAATCTAATGAAAAGGTGGATTTTTCTATGTAGTCAAGATTTAAAGATATATTAAAGGTTTACATTTCTTATAGGCTAATGTCTTATTTTCATTTCTTTTTTCTATCCTATCCTTGAATATTGTTTCTTTTTTATATTTATATATATTTACAAAGCAAAACTTTTCTTAATGTTTCCATTATTCAGTGTTATTGAGATGGCAAGAGAACTGTTTCCCATTCCTTTGTGTTAGTTTTCAAATGTTAAATGTCGTCTACTTTTTGTTTTTAGTTTTTGTGGATTTTTTTACATTAAAAAATGTTTTTATTATTTGAATAACATAGGACATCAACAGTAAATGAAAAACTTTTTACATTAGCTTTTTTGCCTTAAATAAAATGTTTCCTTGCATGATGAGATCTTTTTCAAAAATGCATTTAGTCCCATAGAAATAACATTTTACAATAAGCAAATGCACTTTAACAAAACTGTAAACAGCTTAGATGGTCCAAGTGGAACCCAGAACACCCTGTGCTCAAAGTTTAATCAACTTGTTTTATTTACATTCTTGTTCAGGAGCTTGCTCAGTCCTTGCTGGCAGAGTCTTCAAATCTGAAATCCCATATTATACAGTAGCTTGCTTTGCTATGTCCAGCCTCTTTTTTCCCCCAAGACCTTCATCAGCAGAAGTTTGAAACTGATTAATTTTAATTGCATGACAAGATTTAAGATTTGTTGTCCAGGCCTCATAGAATTCAGTTTACCTTAATGGAGCCCAAGGTGCACCCAGGTTTCTTGCTTACCTTTACAATGGCCATCATAGTCCACCTGAATCTTGGAACCAGTGAGGCAAGCATCACGGTGCAGCTCACAGTGGTTCAGGTACGTCTTACCATTGCTGCCACATACTGGCCTCTTGTGGGTTTTACACTTCTATAAAAGAAAAAGCCAGGAAAGAGGTCAAGGAATTCATAAAGGAAAGTCTGAGTTTAATTTTGAAAATTGAGTCCTTATGGAATAACTTGATCAATCTACTTTTTTTAGCATTAGATTCTAATTTGGTAATTTCGTTATCTTGAATGATATGGACTGATTAGATTATAAATGGCACAGAAAAGTCATGTAGGTATTATAAAACTGATTTTGCCTGGATTCAGACAGTGCACTTAACCATAAAATACTTTCCTTGGCTTAACTATTCTTGTATGAAATTGCCCATTGTGGTTTAGAAATGATTACCTTATCTCATTGAAGAACTTTTTAAATATTTTGCATGCTTCAGAACATTTTGACCAAACACCACAAGATTACTAAATGCAGCCAATTCTTCATTTAATATCTTTTATAGATTGCAACCAATTGATTGCATATTTTTATATATTATGCAATTTGAAGGTTTGCACACATGATTTGATTTAAAATTCCCTCCAAACGAATACCTGAGAACAATCATTGGATCTACTTTAATACAGCTGTTTCTTTTATTATGCAGTGGCATGTTTACAGTTAAATTAAATTCTGCTATTAAAATAATATTTTTAAAATTAAGCTGAATTGTTTTTCGGTAACTAATTGCATGAATTTATAATATAAATTATTTATTCCTGAAACAATTTTAATCAAGACAAGTATATAAATACAGTATATACAGTGTAGCCTTTCAACTTGGCATAAGTATGGAAACAATAAGATTGTTCCATGCTACACTCTAATGAAAACCATATTTGAGCATGAAAATTACTTAACTACATCCCCTTACTTTTTGGCAGGAATTCTTTAACCCAATTAAGAATATTGTATATAGTTTTTTTTCTTCACTTGATGGTTTTATAGGAAGATTCTATTTATGGAAAAGGAGGTTTTTGGATAATCTACCCCCCACACACACACCTACAATTCAGACTTAAAAAAACGTTGTTGGAAATTATAGTTCAGCAAATTTGGAGACCCGTATGGTCCTAATCCTGCTTTAAAGTCTGCCTAAGCATTTCATGGCAAGGATCTAACTTTGAACCATAGAATTCTTCAGGCTGATTAAGGTTGATGAGAGTCAAGCCCAGACCAATAGAAAACATTAGGTCACCTACTGCTGTCATAGCAACAGTGGCTACTGATTACAATGACATAAATGCTTACACATAGTCAGAAAACTGTTGGGAGTTCTTGGTCATCTCTGAAATTAGTTGTTTGCTTATAAATGTTTTGTTACCAAATATGTGACATCATTAGTGCAAATGAGTATGGTGTTTGATTTCTGTTTATATACAATAGCTTGCCGTGCCTCTTTTGAATGGTATGTAAATCTAGTTTATTTCTATATGTCTACTGATGGCTAAGAAGAGTTTGCAGGACTATATGACTTACAACTGCCACAAGCAAAAAAACCCCAACAAGTTACTCACAGAAAAGTTTATGCTATAAAAGAATTTTTGCTGTTAATAGTCTATATCATACCTCAATGCACAAGCAGGTTGGCTCACTCTTTTCTGTTACAGCACATTCCCGGCCAGCTCCACAAAAAACATTGGCACAGATTTTAGACTTGCTAACTGGCTCTTCCTATAAGACGTTAAAACAAAATACATTGTTGAAAGAACATAATTCAGAAAAAATTGTGCTTTTCAGATAGACTCCCTTATATTATTGGCTATAATAGTTTGGTGTTTTTTCACACGTTTTCTTTAGAACATATAAACTATGTGTAGCAAATAGGTATACAAACCATAAATTGCACTAAATGAGAAGGCTGGCACAGATGAAAATATTTCTCCTTCTGCATTCAAGCAAGATATGAATCAGAGTAGGGATGTCTTAAAAGCAGAAGTTTGCAAAAATAGTGAAACAGTGAGTGGTGTTGATATAAGTAAGTTTGACTTAAAATATTTTCTGTCTTTCTCTTGCTCATTATTTTTTTATCTCATGCTTTATGTAATGCTGCCTACTTCAAAAATAAATAGCATAATAGACATGCATAAATGTGTGTATTCAAGCAATTGCAATCAAACAAATACGAGCGATATATGCCTATGATTTTGTGGTTTTCCACTGATTACCCTCTCCCATGGTTAGTCAAGAATGGAAACTGTCTGATTGTTTTCTACACCCATCTGGCCAATTAACTGAAGCAATCTACAAAGTTTCAGCATTGAAATGTTCACTTTTCTTAAAGATTTTTCTGCATGTCTCATATGCTTCCATTCCTTTCTACAGATCAGCCAAACACAGCTGCAAAACTCATCCCTTGGGAGGAAAGAGACCATGCCCATTCAATCAGAGCAAGTCTCCAGGAGGTTAGGCAATTTGGACATACCAGAATTATAAGGTCAGAGTAGTTGAAATCATTTTAAAAGCAGCAAGAGCCTCCCTAAGTTTCTGGCAATCAAAAAAAAAAGCCTTCCAATTCTGTCAGAAGATTAGAATGCCTTTAATAATACTGCAAATGTGTACAAGACAACTAACAGACATTTTTATGTCTGCCTCAGCTGCATTGAAACTTTTCAGTGATAAAACAGAAATGCCATAAAATAAAAAAGGCATCCTCTATAGTTGCTGGTATAACAGAAGGATGCCTGAGATAACAGTAAACTTGTTTACTGGACTTCTGAAAATGTGTGCAATTTTACACTTCAATTGCATATTTCTGTTTTCAAATTTCAAATTTCCATTCTTCCAAACATAAATGACAATACAGGTTTTGTTTCAGGCTAAGGGGAAAAAAGTTTAGGAGAACCAGCATAATACAATTCTTTTCTTTACTCCAATACTGAAAAGTCTGACTATGAATACTGTATTGCTTTTTCATAAAGCTCTTCACATAGCACCATCAATTACTGATATAATTATACCGTTCTTGATATATTTGTTAAAACAGTCCTCAAGTGAATTCCATTAGAAACCTTCTGGAAAAGATTTCTCTACAGATCAGTTGCTGCAAAATGGCACCCCAAAAATTCTTTGCTATTGCAGGAGGAGACTTAATTTCTGCAATAAAGTCTTTTGCTAATAGAGGCATCAAGTCTGTGCTAGAACTGTATGGTTTAGCTCTTCTTTTCTTTTATTTGAAGCTCTTTTCATCTTAAACATATTTACAGCCTTATCAGCTAGGTTTGCATCAACCTGCTTGGCTTCATCTTGGATGGCACTTTCCAAAAGAACATTTTCCTCCTATTTTTTCCCCACAATCTTCCTTTTTCCAGGCAAAACTTATCCACTATCTTCAATCAGTCCTGTTAACTGGCCCTTGTTTGGTTTTTCCTTCCTGTCTTCTTTGGTTAGCTGTTTCCATTGGACACATTCCATTTTACCAACATGGTGCCAACAACTTAGATTATTCTAGGTGCAGTCTGATGGGTGCAAAACAGATATGGATGTTCAATAAATATTGGTTACTCTACTATTGACAATATAACTGAAGAGTTAAACCCTACAGTTTTATCTGGTGTATTATTATTGAATTCAGTGCTGGCATCAACATAACTGTGGATCAATGCTGTATGTCAAAGCAAGTGTATGTTCTTCTTTGTTATATCCCTAGTATACATAATCATATTTTAAAAATTGTGGGTTTTTAAAGAATAGTTATTGGATAAAAGAAACATTATACAGCACTAGAAGGAGAAATCTATACTCTTGTTTGGTTTGTAAGAATGGATCACTGATGACTTACTAAATTTATAGTACAGCATGTGTAGTAAGGGCAGAAACAGGAGTCCATGCGACTGGCACTAGGGCCTTGTTGAAGACTGTTTATTATTGGTTGAGAATAATCGAGATGGAGGAAGGGGGGTTACCAAAATTAGCGCTAATGGAGCAGATTATCTCAAGTAATAAAAATAACTGGTTATCAAGAGTTCTGAAGCAGGTATCTAGCTCTGGTATCCCTGTAAATTGGCAGCAGTACGACTATAGGCAGATCCGAAATTGGATTGCACAGAGATTTAAGGACATAAGTGCCCAATCGGATATTGCATAGGTGACAGCAGTAAAAGTTTGCCCCTGGTTATCAGCCAATAAACAAATTTTCAAAATAGAAAAATATTTAGCTGTGCCTTTGTTTCCCGTCCTGAGAAGATTCTTTACAAAATTGAGGTTGGACCAACTTGGAACAAATATGCTCTGGGGTAGATATAAGGGTATTCCTGTAAGGGAAAGGGTCTGTCTATGTGGGACGGGGGAAGTCGAAACAACGTCCCACGTAATTTATGATTGCCCCCTATATTCAGACCTGAGGGAACATCAACTGGGCAGGATCTTTTATACCAGCACCCCTAAGTCTAAAGAGCACTTTTTGCGATATTGTTTGTTAGGTTCCAACTTGCAGTTGGTAAAATGGATTGCTAAATTTGTGGTAAAGTTGATGGGAAGGAGGACAAAGTTGGTGCAGCAAAATGCGGTAGATTGTAAGAATGATCACTTGATCTAACAATGTAATTTTAATAGCAGTTAACACTGATTGGGTAGATGCAGGGGCGACATTATAATATTTTAATTATATTTAAATGGTACTTTAAATTATTATATTTTATTTTATTTTAGATCGTATTTTATTCTAATTGTATTTTAATTGCGAGTTATTCCAATCTTACTTAATTTGTTTTACCAAACCTTTGTAATGATTTGTCTTTGTAATTCTGCACTTGATATGGCCCAAAGGGCTAATCAATAAATAAAAACTGAATTACTGAAGTGGCTTTTTTCAGGAGGAAAAGAGGGAGATTTCTGAGCTATATGGTCAGATTATTCTTTTACTGTAATGCAAAGAGCTCCCATTTTTTGTTCATCAATGGTGCTTTCTTCACTCTCACAGCCCTGGCAGTAAAAGCAGATTGGTCTAAGAATCCTACATTATTATGGATATCAACCAATATTTTTCCAGTTTTCTGTCAATATTTTCCTACTATATGACACCCAAATACATTAAGGCTACTCAGCGAATTTTATCTTTGCTATCTACCAGAAATACTTTGAATAAACAGCTCAGGTGAACTAATGAAAAGCTGTTTGCTAACTTGCAAAACAAATTAGAGGCATTTCTTTTTACAATTTTTTTTTTATCTTGGAACTTCTGCAATCAGTTAAACAGTCCAGATTTTTTAATTAGCTATACATATAACAAGAACTAATAAAACATGGTGTTAGGCAAAACTCTGTTCTACCAAGGAACTCTGAAAGGCATTAAGAAATCCCAATAGATATAAGCATAAGTCAGATCTGAGTGCTCAATGGACTACTGGAAGAGTAACCTCTTATACATGCACTTTAGGTTAGGTCCTGTACCAGCTTTCACTGGTACAAAGAATAAAAATGACAATGCAGTGAAGGCATGGTGAACACAGAGCAGAGTTTGGGAGCTATTCTTAACCAGACATATTGTGCAATCTCATGATTTTTGCTTTTATTGTTAGGGTTAGCTTGCTGAATACGCCTACATTTATGGTTTGTAAAGTAAGGTTTATAGATTAGTATAATTGTGGTTTATTCATAAAGCCATCAATGATTTGGTAGAGTGAATCATAACCATTCCCAAATGTAAACAAGCACCCACTATAGCTGGTTTGTCCAAAGGTTTTTTACAGTTATTCATCAGCATAGACAAAGGATAAGAAAAGTTACTGATTTAGACTTTAACTAACTAAAGAAGAAACATGAACATGTTTTCATCAGCAATTTAGGCAGTTTTCCAGAGGGTTCTGCACCAAGGACCATTTTTTTCATAAATGATCCACTATTAGGGAAGAGTAATTAAGTGACTACTGGTATCTGCAGAAAAATTATGCAGCAAATTATTCAGAGTTATGAAAACCAAAGCAGCTTCTGATGAGCTCTAACAAAGTATCTCCAAATTAAAAGAAATGGATCATAAATGGTTTAATAATGTATTATCCCATGACTAATAATGAGAGAGGCAGAATATTAGTTTTGCCTTCTCTATTTCTCAATATTCGGCATTGCCATACTATGAAACTGAGAAGGCTTGTATTAAAAAAAAATATTTAAAAAACGACTCTCAACATAACCATGTCCCCCCCTCCCATATTCATATATTATATATAAATCACACACATTTCCCCCAAAAATAAGACCTATCTAGAAAATAAGCCCTAGCGTGTTTTAACGTGTGCGCCTAATATAAGCCCTACCCCCCAAATAAGCCCAATTTAAGAGCCTGTGCAGCCCGCCGCCTTCCCATTCCATCTGGCTGATCATGGTGCCATGGCCACAAGGCAAAGCGGGGGGGTGGAGCTGCTCCATGCACCTCGTACCAATTTACTTCAGGATCCCTGCAGCCAGGCCATCCACGCCCTGACACCTGTCTTGAGGCAGCAGCACCAGCAGCCATCTGCAGCAGCCCATGTGGCTCCCAGACCACTTCTGCTTGCTTGCAGTTGCAATAGAGCAAAAGGCTAAGCAGTGTGCTGGTGCCACAGCCACAAGGCAGGTGTCAGGGTGTGGATGGCCTGTCTGTGTAGGCCCTGAAGTAAGCCATGTGGGGCACATTGGGCAGCTCCATCCACCCCACCTCACTTTATGGCCATGGCACCGGTCCATCGCTCAACTTT